GAAAAAATGTTTTTCTGCATTTTATAGCATTTGTACTACTTATCACCTCTTTAAATTTTGCTATAGCTTTTTATCAAAACATATATTCAAAATAAAAGTATATTACTAAAAACATATATTTAGTCTCTTACACGGTTTTCTGTTCTTTTTCTTAAGAGATATCTTAAAGTTTTACTAATTTAGAACTCACATGTCCTATATCCACTGTTCATTTAAGAATCAGACACAGTTCTGGTTTCCTAATAATTGGTGTGAATGGGAAACACACAATAGTACAGATTTTTGTAGCACATGAATAAACTACAATGTTTGGAAAAGTGATCAAGTATATTATTTCCATAATGAGATAGCATCATAACCACTCATATGAATTGTAAGAAGTAAAGAAACACCCGATCCATGAGGGATGCTCAATGAGTCAAGTGCTGCTTTCAACCCTCAGTACATTCCAATCCCAAATCCTGTGACCTTAGGCACTGGTTTACATTGCCTCCACAGATAGAGAATGTGGCAAACACACGGATCTTCTTAAAGCTGATGGTGAATATATATACATAAGAGAGTTGATTGCTCAGAGCTCCACAAAGTAACTACCACCTTTGAGGGCGGTCCAAATAAATAACCACCTTCCAGCAGTTAGCCCTTGGCCATGTTCCTCCTTGTGAGCCAAATGCTGAATATAAATAGGTCAAAATCTAAAATGCTGTACAGGCGCTTGGCTGTTCTTTTAAAGGTTTCTTGCTATGATGGTGGAAGTGGTAGTTTATTCTGTTTATTTGCTTTGTTTGTTTATTTGTTTGTTGGCTTGTTGAGACAGAATTTCACTATCTAGCCAAGTTTGGCTTCAAACTCATGATATTCCTCCTATATCCTCCACCTTAGTGCTGATATAAGAGCCATGCACTGTCATGCCCAGATGTTGTTTTTGCTTTGATAAATAAGTAATCATAGTAAGGAGAAATATTATTCAAAAATATTTAGAAATATGTCAGTGGTTGGTAATATAGCAACTACTGAAAAACCAATAACAATAATAATAAAGTAACATTTATTTACATATAATATTTAAAAACTAGATGTTAAAATTTTATCTCAAATTCTCAGGAAAACTATTAAAAATTCACTATCTCTTGTTTTGCAAATGAAGAAACTGAGGCTTAAAAAGATGAAATCATGGCCGGGCAGTGGTGGTGCATGTCTTTAATCCCAGCACTCAGGAGGCAGAGCCAGGCTGATCTCTGTGAGTTCAAGGCCAGCCTGGTCTACAGAGCGAAATCAGGACAGGCACCAAAACTACACAGAGAAACCGTCTCAGGAGAAAAAAAAATGAAATCACTTGACCAAGACTTTCAAACAAGTAAATCATAGAAGCCAGAACTTAAAACTAATACCAAGTAAATTTCACATCCTAATAACGTGTGAATAATTGTGGGCACCTAAGCCAGGACTCTCCACAAAGATATTCAAGATGGCTTGTGACACAGAGCACTACTCACCACTTGATCTGTGAGAGGTCTAAGAACTACCCTTCTTCCTCTTCTTCTTCTCCCTCTTCTTCTTCTTCTTCTCCTTCTCCTTCTCCTTCTCCTTCTCCTTCTCCTTCCTCTTCCTCTTCCTCTTCCTCTTCTTCTTCTTCTTCCTATTATAAGGGTGTTTTCACACTTAGGGAGATTTGTATAGCTTCAGAGAGAAACCAACATGGTGGATGCATAAACACCACTTGACACCATGATGGAGTACAACATGCTTCATTTAGTGATCCTACATACTCTTTTAAAAAAAGCCACAGAAGCTCAACTTGATAGCTGTACTCCCAAAAGAATCTGAAAACTATAACTTTATTACTCTTAAGTCATTAGTAAATCATTAAAAGTTAACATACATCCACAAAAGTGCCTTGATGTATCGCCAAGTCAGTCACTGAGTACTAACGGCATTGTATATTGTTTCATCTAGTCTTTAAAAGAAACTTTAGGGGCCATTTAATATTATCTGCATTTTACTCAACAGAAAAGCAGACAGTTGGCTAATTTGTAATAGTAAGTTTAAACTTCAGTCCAACGACTTAAAATCTAGTGTTTTTCACCATATCTAAGAGTAAGAAACCAAAAGACTTCTGTACCCAACAACTTAAAACCTAGATTAGTGGGGTGCGGTGATACACAACCTTAATGCCAGTACTTGGGAAGCAGAGGCAGGGAGATCTTTGTGAGTTTGAGGCCAGCCTGCTCTACATATTGAGTTCTAGAGATACAGAGTGAGACTATGTCTCAAACAAACAAACCTAGAGAATCTGAACAGAGGCAAAGAAAAAAATATGTGTTCTCTTCAATGCAGGGAGGAGTCTCACATTTAAATACAAATGCACAAATTCTGGTCCCAGACTGAGAAGCCTCATTTTTGAATGAGAATAGAATCCTGAATAACAGAAAGAGACAGATACACATAAATAATTTAAGCCATGTTATAAAACATGTTCACAGACAGTTATAATTGTTTGGAGAGAAAAAGAATTATAAAATAAGAAGTAATGAATGAGTAAACAGAGAAAAGTCACAGTCTGGTTCCAACATATTTTATAAAGTTAAGTATATCTTTAGGTTTTCTTTGCAGGGGTGGGGTGTTGAAGGAAAAAAAAGAGTTTAAGTTATTTTTCATAATCTAATCCAATCCTACTAAGGGCTCATTCTCCCAATAGAAGTATGGATTTCCATGATCAATACCCAACACTGTAACACAGAGAACTCATGTAAACAAAGCAAACAGTGTTAACTTGGTGGCAATACCTACTAACTAATACATCTATAAACCAAGACTTCACTCCCTGGGTTCAGAATCCATGCATTTATGTGTGAATAGCCTTTCCCCTCTTGAACTAGAACACATCTTCAAAGACTGGAAGGAAGGAAGGAAGGAAGGAAGGAAGGAAGGAAGGAAGGAAGGAAGGAAGGAAGGAAGGAAGGAAGGAAGGTAAACTGAGAAAGCAATCAAGACTTGAGTTTGGTACCAGCTCCCAGTAGCCTATCTGCTAAGGCTTCCCCAGACTCTGTGGGAAGCACAAACGTATCTCAGAGCTGTCAATACCATGCGTCACACTCCATCCTCACTGCCCCTAAGTGACCTACCTCTAGCAAATTCATGCCAATGTAAACACATTGTTATACTTGCGACTCAACTGCTACACAATCAGACAAAGGCAGCCTAACACTTGAATCAGATACCCGTTTGCAAATCTTGCATACATACAGATTGAAAAACATTTCTAATTTACTTAATGACTATTAGTCTAACGCCACCTTATTCTTTGTAGTAGTAAAATTTGGAAATAGGGTCTCTGAAAACGGCAGTGTTGTGTGGCCCAAGAAGAGACACTACACTTCCCATGCCTTAGAAGAAGAGCACATGTGCAATCACTGGGGGGACACAGAGTAAGAAGTAGGAGACAGCTTTACGCAGCAAATTCAGTCCTCCTCGGGTTTTAAATGCCAGCATTAAAGTAAGCTAGCACACCATGACAAACATGTTCTCTCAGGAAGACATAGAAGGACCCAAGTACCCCAGATCAACCAGGAATACAAAGCTTGCTCATGTTGGTAAGAAGCAGAATTGGATTTATTTAGAAGTGAAGTCTTTATTATGAAAAGTCGAGTTGCGGAAAAACCAACAAGCCAAACACATAACTCTAAGTGAATTTCTCAACTACAGTTTTTCCAAAGTTATATCATCATAAACATCTGCGAGCTACTTGACATTCTGGTCAGCTCCTCTAGAATCCTAAATCCCCAACAACTAAGTTACATCTGAGTTTTAAAAGGAACTATACTCTAGGCTTTTATAGAATATGCACCAAATAACTGAGTCAGTCATAGATATAACATTCCAGTTTAATTACATATTAACCATATATCAACTAGATCTATATTATTCCACCTTTTGATGGTGGCCAGTGGTTTATGTCAGTAGCATATAGTTAATAGTCACTTTTGTTCCCAAAATATATTTGTATAAATGAAGTTTCTACACTTCAAAGCCCAAATTCACAAGGAAAGCACCTTCTAAATCTTACTGCTGTAAGCTTGTTTTTCTGAGCTGTTATTACAGATAATAAGAGACTTCATTCCACAGCTCCTATAATAACACAGTATAAATTTTGCACTCAAATTTTTTTTACTTTAAACACTTGTGATGGCAAAATCATTTTCCTCAAAGCTGATTGGTTGTGCATGTCTACAACAGTACTTAAATGTGATCCTGCTATCAAGGCTCCTGACAAGGAGGGATCTTTTTATGTTAAGTCTTTTGGGTACTGAACATGACCTTCTTGAAGAATTTTTGTTTTATTATTAAGAAATAAATGTGTCTTGTTCCTTGGCTTTCTCTGGCTTCAGCAGTTTGTAGTCATTTCCAGCACAGACTAGTAAGAACATATTTCAAAGACAGGTTAACAAAGTTCAAGTTTACTTCTTATATAGTGCAGCTTCTCAGTGGCATTGGGTGAGTATCAAAAACATTATCAACATATTGTATAGTGCCAAATAATGACCTTACTTATGGATGTTTGTTAACTTTCCTACTGTACTCCGTGATGTTTCCAAGTCACTTTTGTAGACTAATCTTTTGATAAAAAGTTTCAGTTCCTTAGTTTATTTGGTGTTTGTTTCTCTTATAGGTTTCCTTCCTTTAACACTGTACCTTTGTACATTCTCCCATAAAGAAGTTTTGTCAACAATGCACTAGAAGTATCTCAAAATACGATGCCTATCTCATTTTCTCTCTGATTTAGCTCTCATCCTAATCTTAAGGCACCGAAGATTAAGCTCGATTTTGAGGACCCTCTAATAAGGGTATGGTTGGATAAAATGACTAATATGCCATGGGCTGCCCTAGAGGTGACGCTTTGCTATTCATTTAATTTATTTGCTCTGTTTCCAAACTGGAGTTTCTTCTCATGCAGAAATCCTTATTTTTCCCAAAAGGCTTATGAAAATTTTGGTGAGAACATGTTGCTGCTTCAGTGCAGAAATCCAGCCTCTCTTCCAAGGCCATGTAACTTGGTGAGTATTCCACTTACTTTTCTATTATCTGGTCTTTAGAACGATAAGGTTATTAAGTGCTCTTGAGAAGACAAAATCTCACTTAAATATGTAAGATGATGTGGACAACATAAAGACTTACAGTCATAGTACTTCAAAGCAGCCACTGAGTATTATTTTCAAGTCAAAAAATAAGGGTTAACTATTATTCAGTTATGTTTTTTAGAGGTAGAAAGGACATTAAAAGTCACCCAATATAATTTGATAGTTTTAAAAAAATAAGTGACATTATATGCACACAAAAGAAAATAAGATGTATCCATGCATGAGTGTACAAAATCTAGAGTTCCTGTGACTCTACTATAAAGACGAAATGGGTATCTGAATGAGATGAGCACCCAAAGCTTCCCAAATGCCTTGATCCGCAACCTCAGAGACATTTAGAACAGAGATCCTCTACCCATGCTCTCTTTTCACTTCCTTGTGGCTTTGTAACCTACACTAAACACACTGGCTTCAGCAGTTATTTCTCTAAAGGAAGAGACAAAATGCACATCTCTGTCTCTTCCTTCTTATTTTTTCCTGACAAGCCCTTGAACAAATGTGCATTATTAAAGGTCAAGTCATAACAATAATAGAAACACAAACAGATGAAAAATAACACTGTGAAATTCTATAATTTATTTAATCATAATGTTAATATTTCTATATAATGCTGGATACAGTGTCTTACAAAACTTCAAAGTCCTAATTTTTGAAGTGTACATTCATTGAAACCAAGGGTATGTACAGTGGATGTGGTTGGACCTTACTAAGCCCTTCTAAACCAACTTGGCAGGGAGACTCTCAGAATCACAAATACTATGGTTTTTTAGGTTATAAACTCTCTTAAGTCTCCTGTGATTCCTCTCTGTCTCCCTGTCCCCTTCTCTCCCTCTCCTCCTGCCTCCCCCCCCCCACACACACACATCTTTCCTCCTTAATCTGACTTTGGTAATTAATATCTACTAGTTAACATAAAACTAGGTAGAATCCCTTTATATTTCTGAACTCTCCTTGATAGACAAGTGAGGAAGCTAGCGTCTAACTAACTATAGAGTGCCCATAAGCTAGTCCCTAACAAACTGTAGAGTACCCAAAGCGTAATCATTTTGCTGTCCCCAAATGATATTCAGTTTTGTATTCTAGGTACCAAATGTAAAAATGGAGATTCTCCTGGTTTTGCTGGGTCTGCTCAGTAACTCTGCCGCCATGCCTGTAAGTGTTTCCTTTTGTGTTGGAAGTTTTCTTTGTATTCTCTAATTGCACTCCTTGGGGACAGCTGACAGGTTATTTCAGCTAAGGCTCTGCATTTCTCCCTCAGTTCCAGATGCCAATGCCCCGGATGCCTGGATTTAGCAGTAAAAGTGAAGAGGTATGTATTACAATCTGTACTGGAGGAGATGTGTGCCAGGGTCCTACCTAGAAGTTCATGAAAAGGAGATTACTGGTACTTTTTTTTTAGAATATAAAATGTCTTATGAAGAGACAAAGGGAGGGAAAGTTGAAAGTCTTCCACTCAAATCAAAGCAAAATTATTCTCCCCCAGGAGTCTACTCATGTGCTTCAGCATCCATTTAGGTTAAAATTTAGTTGTTAGCTTTGGGGTCGTTTTTGTTCACTAGTAAAGAGCCATGCACACCTGGGAGTGTTAGAAAGTAAATACTTACATATATCTTTAACATAATTCAAACTAGTTACCATTAGTCAAATTCCATGTACAATAGAAACAGGAATCTTAGTGTGTTTGTTTGTTTGGGTTTTTTGTTTTATTTAGTTTTTGAGACAGAGTCTCTACATTATGAAGCCCTGGCAGTCATGGAAATCACTATGTAGACCAGGTTGGGCTCTAATTCACATAGCTCCACCTGCCTCTGAAAGTGCTGGGATTAGAGGTGTGTGCCACCACACCCAGCAAAAAAGGTATCTTTACCACGAATTATCTTGTTCTCAAATCCTCAATTCCAAATAATCAGAACATTCAAAATCTTCAAAGTAAATTATGTTTATTTTCTGTTTTGTTTTCTATATTGATTCAGTATGAAGTCTGACTTCAAATTCAGAAACTCAGGGGCCGGGGAGATAGCTCAGTTGGTAAAGAGTTTGCTGTACAAGAATGAAAACCTGAGTTTGATTCCCCAGAACCCCATAAAAGCCGAGTTTGGTGACACTCACTTGCAATTCCAGCACCAAGGAGTGGAAACAGGAGGTTTCCTGGAGCTCACTCAGCCTACCCAAATCAGGAAGGCCCAGATACCAAATGAAGCTCTGTTTCAAAATAGAAGGTAGATAACTCCTAAGGAACATTATCTGAGGTGTTGGCTTCCATATGTGCACAGAAGAACACTTATACAAAACTGCATATGAGGCTGGAGAGATAGCTCGGTGGTTAAGAGCAGTGATGCTCTTCCAAAGAATAGAGAATAGAGATTCCCAGCACTTGCATTAATTGTCTGAAACCTGGAACCCCAGTGCCAGGGCATCTGGCACCATCTTCTGGCCTCTGTGGGCACCAGACACTCACTGTGATACACAGACATATACCCAGACATATTAAATGTTCGGTTTTTTTTTAAACTACACACATGCAAAAAATTTATATACTCTAGAATTTTTAATACAAGTTTTACATTCATAGAATTCGAAAAAGAGAGTATGACTATTGTGCCTTCAGATCCTAAACTCATTTCTCATGCTTTGTGAATTAAATGAATAAAAGCTTTTCAATTTGTGCCACATTCATGGATTCCTTTCATTTCAGATGATGCGATATAGTCAATTCAACTTTATGAATGCCCCGCCTGTAAGTTCTTCTTTATTTGACTCCTGAGACTTTCATGTTTATATCCAGAATCTGGGTCATGTTTGTCTTAGTTCATAGCAATGCTAATCACCAGCCATGTGTCTTAGTTACAAGCTAACCATTACAATAAACCCTTTCACTTGTCTGTCCCCTAGTGACAAACATTCTCCTTATTCATTTTTATTGTGTTTTTATTCTATAAATGAACATCATCTACTAATTACAAGCATTCCTTATGTCCTAGAACACTTGGTTCTGACTAAATTTCCAAGAGCTATTTCCACAAGCAATGACAACTAAAGTTGTATAGTAAATACTATTAGAAGAAAGGATTCTATCTGTGTTCTCTTAAAAAAATACTAAAATTGTGAAGTGTCTTTTTTTTTATCTTGTTGGAGTGAACATGGGTTATTCTTGTGGTGGTATCATATGCTGATTCTTTTGTTTGTTTGTTTGTTTGTTTGTTTGTTTGTTTTTTGGAGACAGGGTTTCTCTGTGTAGCCCCAGCTGTCCTGGAACTCAGAGATCTGGTACCTCTGCCTCCTGAGGGCTAGGATAAAGGCATATACCACCATCGCCCAGTTTATATGCCAAATTTTAGAACAAACTAAACCATGAGTGTCAGCTGGTCCTCTGACAAAATTGTGTAACAGCCTAAAAACACACATCACTTTTTACTTTTGTGGCATTATTAAAGACTTCATCAATTACGTCTAATCCTTTCCATTCAGTAATTTTTCTGTAAATTCTTCACCTAAAGTCATCATAATCAATGTTCTCCTCCTAAACTTCAGCTTTTCTTGCTGTTTTGATGTATATAGTCAACATTTTCACCAATGTGAAATCCTGCATGTTTTGAGGGTTTCGTGTGTTTGTTGCTTGGTTGGTTTTGGAACGTTATTTGCGTTTTGGTTGTTTTGTTTTATTTCCCTTTCTCTCTGTACCTGGCCTTATATATAGCAATTCACATGGGTTTTGGATTTGACATAATTTTCCATAAAAATCTGTACACTTAGAAAAACATAAAATGCTCATGCTTGGTGGGGGTGCTTGGTGGTACATCTCAAAAAATAATCTCTGCACTCTGGATTTCAAAAACAGGAAGATTGCTCTATGTGTACGTGTACACAATGTGTGTGTGCACGTGTATAAAGGTCAGAGAACAACTTAGGGCATCAGTTTTGCCCTCCACCTTTCTTGAGACAGTGTCTTTCTTTGTTGTTTGTACTGAATATACCAGACCAGTTTGCCCATGGGCTTCCAGGGATTCTCTTGTCTCCATCTCCCATCTTACCATAGGAGCACTGGGGTTATAGAATCATGCTACTGTGCCCAACTTTACATACAGGGTTTCGAGTGATCCAAACTCAGGTTCCCACATTTGTGTGGCAAGCACTTTGCCCACTCAGCCATTCTTCAGCCCGTCAAGCTGAAATTTCTTATTGAAGTCTGCTTTTTTGATAAGTTTGGCCAGCTTTCATTCAGTAAGACAAAATGTGATGAAGTTTTCACTAAAGATCTTAGCATCAAATTCCACTGGATTTGTAAGTTTCTTGACTTGGTTTTAGAAGTTTACATTTAGAAGGTGAGAAGAGTCTGGTCCTCAGCCCTCATTCAATGTTACTATTTTTGCTACTCTCTCAGATGATGCATATGGGCCCATATGGAAATGGTTTGCCAATGCCTCCACACATGCCTCCGCCATACCCTCCATACCAGATGCCCATGTGGCCTCAGCCAGTACCCAATGCATGGAATCCACCCCCAATGCCCAATTTCCCGAGCAAGACTGATCAAACCCAGGAGACTGCCAAACCCAACCAGACCAATCCGCAAGAGCCACAACCACAGAAGCAGCCTCCAAAGGAACCACCAAATGAAGCAGCACGGGCCAAAGAGGAAGCCCAGCCACCTCAGGTGAGGCTTGACTAGACAACTTCCATATCAGAGGCTTAAAAAATGCCTTGAAAGAGATTTGGAGGTCCATACCTTTCCAGCATCCATACTGCCTCCAAAATTCAGTGCAGGTATTATTGTGTAAGAATATGATAGTTAATTTTGACATTTATCAGAAGTTGCCTGACAGATCAATTCCAATCTTATTTAGTTCAAAATTACACAAATATTGTTGCCCTAAAGCTCCTTTTAAAACACAGCATCAAGCTGTGAATTGTGGGACATGCCTATGATTGCAGCAATATGAAGGCTGAGGTGGGATCAGGACTAGATGACCACCTTGGCCATGTGGTGAGAAAATCTTTAAAATATAATGCAGAGTCTCGTGACCACTAGAAGAAGAGTCAGGAGAGAAAGGTCAAGTTCTACACCAGCCTTCATTGGTCCTACAATGTTAAGGAAGTTTCCTCACATTTCTAGACTTCTTTCCCCAAGAATAAGTCAAATGGCTTCTAAAGCATTTCCAGACCCATGCTTTGATGACACGTAATATTCTTCTGAAACTGCCACTGCCTTCAGTACTTCCAGGTGACTCAAGTATAGTCAACACAAGACAAGAGGATGTACAAATGGTTTCTCAAGAGCTCCTGCTGTATAGAACTTCAGAAACAGCAGCTTTTGGTTATATGTTATCACAAGAAGTTAAATATATAGTGAATACAAAGTGAATAAAAAGACACTCCTGGATTTGAATCCTGGTTTCGGTCACACCTCTGCCATTTGGGGCCACTAACTTCTCTGAACCTCAGTTCAGCTTCTCAGTGGGAATAACAATAGTGCATGGTCATCTGAGGTCTAAGGGAGTTCCATAATCTACTACTGCTTGAATACAGTGTTTAATCGTACTATTACCGTCATCAACACCAAAAATATGCAGGGGGGGGGAACAAGGGAGGTAGAAGGGGAGAAAGAGAGAGTAGGAAAGAAAGAGAGATTTAATGCAAACAAAAATATAAGCAGTCTCCAGTTTTCAAATAATCATTATCAATTTCTTTCATTTCTCATTTTCAATCTCACTACCAAATAACTCTAACTTGCATTTCTTTCCAGCCATTTCCACCATTTGGCAATGGGCTTTACCCCTATCAACAACCACCATGGCCTATTCCACAGGTAAGAATTTTTTTATGTCCTGTAAATTAAATATTAGTATGTGACATATAAGACTAACACAAGCTCATATACTGTAATATACCAGTCAGTAGAGAGTATGAAACAAAATCAAGTTAGTAATTATTCAGAAAAATTATTTTAAAAATTAAGTAAATTTTTATCGGACCAGTTGTCAACATGAACAGGGCCTAAATCACGACTACTAATAACATAAATTTTTTTTAATAAATTTATTTATTTATTTGACATTCTAGCCACAGTTTCCCTTCCCACCTCTCCTCTGAGTAGCCCTCACCTTCCCTCTGTCCTCCATCCACTCCTCCTCCATTTATATTCAGAAAAGGACAGGCCTCCCATAAATATAATAACATATGTTAACAAATTAATTTTAAATGGTTGTACTATAAACCTCTCACATAAGAGATCATAATATCTTCAATGAATTTCATAATTTAATATAATAGTAAAACTGACCCAAGACAGGGTTTTAAACTAAGAAGCAAGTCATGATTACATTATGATCTCTCCATCACATCTTTTTTCTAACAATAGGTGTGTCCTTAAAAAGAATTTTGCAAAATAATATTGAATTCTCAGAGTTCTTAAAGTTTAAAATTAATAACATTAAATATAATATTTAGCTTTTTTAACTAAAATAATAGTAAAGGCAGTGTTTTTCAATCTTCCTAATGCTACAACCCTTTAATACAGCTCCTCATGTTGTGGTGACCCCAACCACAAAATCATTTTTGTTGCTACTTCATAACTGTAATTTCGCTACTGTTATGAGTTGTAATATAATAGCTGTGTTTTCTGATGGTCCTAGGTGATCTCTGTAAAAGGATCATTTGACCACCCTAAAGGGATCCTGACCCACAAGTTGAGAACTGCTGTGTAAAGGCAAGCTGTTAAAAACAGCTGCGCCTGGGCAAAGGGAGGGGGGAGAACAAGGGAATCCGTGGCTGATATGTAGAACTGAATTGTATTGCAAAATAAATTAAAATAAATTTAAAAAAAAAAGAAAAAAAAAAGAAAAACAGCTGCGCATCAGGAATTACTCAATAACTGTTCATTTGGCTATGAAATAGGTTTTTCTTGCTTATAACTCTCTGACCAAGGTTTGGAATGAACAATCCACTCCTTACTTTGTTTACTCCTTAAAAGGGTGGCTTTTTTTCACACTCAAGGAAGGAGAGAGAGGCAGTTCCAGGTGAATAGCAACATAATTTTCATATTAAATGACTATTAATCTCATCTACATTAACTTCTTGAAGAGAAACAAAAACTAACTACTTTTTAAAACATGGCTACTTTAACTATCCCTGAGCTTTCTTTTAATTTAATGTACTCTTTTTTTAACCTTTGATATTAGGATACAAAATAATGGTTTCCTGATAGCACTTTCTGTGTTTGTGTGTTTGTGTAGGGGTGTGCACATGTGTGTGGATGTATATGCCTATGAATGTATGTGGAGGACAGAGGCTGATGTCCATTGTCTTCCTCAATAACTCTCCACCTCATCTTAGAGGTAGAGTTTCTTATGGAATCTGGAGTTCCTGTCTTTGGCTAGGCTGGCTGGCAACCAGTTCCAGGGATCTGCCCATCTCTGCCTCTCCAACCCTAGAATTACATATGCACACCACCACACCCAGCTTTTTGGGCGGACTGGGCATCTGAACTTGGGTCCTCGGGCTTGCATGGAAAGCATCTCTTCAGTCCCTCATAATAGCCCTTCCACACATAAGTGTTTTCTTTCTTTCTTTCTTTCTTTTTTTTTTTTTTTTAGATTTTTCGAGATAGGGTTTCTCTGTGTAGCTTTGGTGCCTGTCCTGAATCTCGCTCTGTAGACCAGGCTGCCTCAAACTCACAGAGATCTGCCTGGCTCTGCCTCTCTAGTGCTGGGATTAAAGGCATGTGCCACCGCCACCCAGCTTCCTTTTTCTTATTTATCCTGCTCTCTCTCTTCCTTGGCTCCTCTCTTGATGGTCCACCACCTTGCTCCCAAAAGTTCCCACTTTTCTTTCATGACACACATGTTTCATTACTCTCTTCCCCATCCCTCTCACTTCCTGTAAGGTCTCTTCATTCCCTCTCAGGGTCCTCCTGATTTACTGAGCTGCACAAACACACATAAGCACACATACACAGACATACGGACAAACAATCTAGAGTCCACAATTAAGAGAAAAACGGGCAGTTTTCGTTAAGCCTGACTTACTTTGCTTAACACAAGGATCTCCAGTTGTAGCTAGAGTTTTCCTGCCTGGCCCACAGTCAGGGCAAATCTCTCTCACCTGCCAGTCCCACAGCCGCTCAGACCCGACCAAGTAAACACAGAGACTTATATTGGTTACAAACTGTATGGCCGTGGCAGGCTTCTTGCTAACTGTTCTTACAGCTTAAATTAATCCATTTCTATAAATCTATACCTTGCCACATGGCTCGTGGCTTACCGGCATCTTCACATGCTGTTTCTCATCATGGCGGCTGGCAGTGTCTCTCAGCCTTCCACTTGCCAGCTTTATTCTCCTCCTTGTCCCGCCTATACTTCCTGCCTGGCCATGGGCCAATCAGTGATTTATTTATTGACTAATCAGCAACACACTTGACATACAGACCATCCCACAGCACTCAGTTACATCCATTTCCTGAAAATGTCATTATGTCGTGTTTCTTCATGGCTGATTGAAATTCCTTGTGTAAATGTACATTTTATTTACCCATTCATCTGTTAATGGATAATTAGGCAGATTCCACTTGTTTAAGGCATTGTGGAGAATGCAGCTTACAAACACAAATATTCAAGTCTCGCTGTGGTATGCTGATGTTAAGAATCCTTCATGTATAACTGGCTGGGTCAAACAGACAGTTCTACTTTGAGTTTCGTGAGTAACTTCTACACTAACATCCATAGTGGCTGTGTCACTCTGCTTACCACCTGCAGTCTCCAGGAGTCCTCTTTCCACACGTCCTTGACTGCATCTCTTAACATTGGTTTGGTGGAATCATAACCATTCAGACTGTGTTGAGATAGAATCTTAAAGTTTAATTTGCCCTTCTTTGATAGCTAAAAGCACTGAATACTTTCTCAAATGTTTACTGGCCATTTGCATTTCCTCTTCTGATAACTGTTTCTCCACTTCATCAGAATATTTACATTATCCCTTAAGTATAGCTGGCAATGATTCCTTCACATTCTATAGACTGTCTCTTCACTCTGGTGATTGTATCCTTTGCAGAAACTCTTTAATGTTCTGTAATCTTACTTGTCAACTCTTGGGAGTCTTTTTTGTGCTAATGGTGCTATCAGAACATTCTTACCTATGCCTACATACATCTTGAAGTGTTTGATCTGTTTTCCTTTACTAGCTTCAAAGATACAGGTCTTGTATTCACGCTTTTGGTCCATCTTAAGTTAGTTTTGGTGTGAGGTGAGAGATGTGGGTTTAGTTTAAATCTTCTGCAGGTGGATGTATAGTTTTACCATGCTAAAGAAGCTGCATTTTTTCCAATGTTTTTGACACCTTTGTGGAAAATTAGGTGTTTGTAGCTGTGTGGGTTTATTTCTGGGTTTGGCTTTCTAGTCCACTAGCCTTTGTGTCTGTTTTTGTACAAATGCCATGCTAACTTTGTTACTATAGCTCTGTACTATACAAAGAAGTATCAGATATCATGCTATCACCAGAATTTCTCTGTTTAGAATTATTCTGGCTATTTAAATCTTTTGTGCTTTCCCATAAATTTTAGAATTTTTTTCCTATTTCTGCAAAAGATATAATTGAAATTTTGATGGAGGTTGAATTGGATATATAAATCTCTTTTAATAATGTGATCATTTTTATAATCTTGAGTTTGATAATCCACATACATGGGAAGCCTTTACTTTTCTTGTGTAAGCCTTCGAATTTTGTTTGGAAAATTAACTCTAATTGTAAATGAAGCATGCTAAATATCACAATTCGATCTCATACTGTTGTGTGATCTAATATGGATAGCTGGAACCCATTATCACTCAAATATTAATCTGTCTCTCTATATCTCTCTGTCTCTATCTCTCTGTCTCTGTTTCTCTCTCTCTCTTTCTGAGATAGTGGGGTAAGGTGATTGCTAAGGCATGTGGGTACTTTTAGTAAGATAACCTCGGATCCCGTAGAAGTCTTATAAAAATAGTACTCACTAAAGGATTATAAGTATCAATAGGTAGATAGCAAGTCTAATGTCTCGGGAGCACCAAGTTCACAGTACTAACACATGATTAGTCATGAACTAATTCAACGCCCCTCCAGTCTTATGAACAAATGTCATCACAGAAAGTGGGGGCCAAGGAGACACCAGTGGGTAAAGAGCTTGCTGTGCAAGCACGACGACGACAAGTTTAGATCCCCAGCGCTTACACTGGGAAAAAAAAAAGTGTGATGCACACCTATGAACCCCAGCACCAGGAAGAGGAAACAGGAGAACCCTAGGGCTTGCTGGCCCAGCTGCTCCAGCCAAGCAGTAAGCTCCAGGTTCAATGAGAGATCCTATCTCAGAAACTAAGGTGAAGGAGGAAAGATGAAGGCATCTGACATCAACCTCTGGCCTACACACACATACACACACACACACACACACACACACACACACACACACACACACACATTTCTAGCCAAGCCGAGTAGTGCACATCTGTAATCTCAGAACTCAGAAGGCTGCGGAAGGAGGATTGCCATGAACCCAAGGCCAGCCCAGCTGCATAATATATTATATAATGCAATGTATATGTTATAAAGCAAGACTTTAAAAAAAATAATGGAAAAGAAGAAAAGAAAGAAAAATGATTTCTTCCTGTGTTCATTGTGCTTTTCATCTTTCAGAGGGGACCACCACCAGCCTTTGGACGTCCAAAATTCAGCAATGAAGAAGGAGTAAGTAGGCATGATGCTATCACCTCAGTTAGGATTTATAATCTATCAGCTACTATCTTTTAATCCAATGTCACAAGAACTTAAAATCTATCATGAAAAACTCCTTTAACTCAAGTTCCTAAGATTTTTTTAAAGTGAAATAGAAATCAAGCTAGTAACCTAAATAAGTTTGACACATCATTGGACACAGGAGACAGATACACAGCCTCACTTCTAAACCCAGCACCACTTAAATGGTGCATCATTCCCTCTCCATGTATGAAGGATGGCTCACATATCTCCTATGAAAACTATTAGCCTCTTTGCGAAACTGATGGTGAACTCTAGACAGCGGAACACACAGGAAGAAGGTAAGATCATCTTAGAATACCCCCTCCCTTCACAGGAAATTGCTTATCATCTAAATATCCCATTGCATGAATACTGAAATCCAGAGAAGACAAATTACTATTCAATGTTTCCTCTTCAGTTACAGGATAAACTGGACCAAATATGATATCTTTTTTAGTATACTCCAAGAAAGTAATCAAGTATATCCAACCAATTCTTAATATGTCACTGAGACTATGTCATCAAATAAACTATCTTAGTGGTTGTGAGTCCATCCATGGACTTCCCTTACTCTTTTCCCTAAATATGTGATATGCACTCAGTGAAAGAAGAAATCAGTACCTTTGCTGAAGGAGAAAGGAACAAGGTGTTCTTAAAAATAATGATGGTGAAATTATTATCTCAATGATAGCACAGGATGGTTTTTTTAATCACTATAAAATACCCAAATAGAAGTGATGTAGATCATTGTATACAACTTCACCTAGGAACTAGAACTTCAGATTTTCATAAACAACATTAGCAAGTGAAACAGAATAATCCAAGCATTAACACAGGCACTAAATCTGTAGTCTACCTCTTGGGGACACTGTTCAATTTCCTGTGTGATACTAGAAATATTTTCTCACGTATCTATTTCATCATCTCTATCCCAAAGGAGAATAAAACTATTTTCCCCTCTATTTTATTTGTTTTCAAAGAAAAACTAGGGCTGAGGATACAGCTCAGTAGGAGAATACTCAACTACCATGCCTAAGGCCATGGGTTTAATCATCAGTACAGGGAGAAAAATTAAATACCCTAATTGATATGCAAATGTCTAAAGAATGCATATAGGTTATTCATTTAATTGAAAATTATTAAGCATTCCCCACCGTTCTAGAAAACTAGAATATCAAAAACAGTATTTTTACTCAAAAACTTCACATAGAGAAATCAAGTGGAAGGACCCCGAAGAATAACTAGAATTTTAGAAGCAACTAAAACTCACTGTAATGATGATTACAACAGAAGGCTGTGTTGCTGCAGACACACAGCAACAAATCCTAAGCCTAACTCTGCTAAGGGAAGTCAGGGCGCAACTGTGGCACTCGAGCTGAGGCTTGAAGGGTAAGTCAAGTGTGCTGGGAAAGATGAGTGTGTAGGTGAGAAAAGGTTAGATACAAAGAAATCATGTGCGAAGACTCAGAGAAGTAACAGTAGATGTCATTTGAAACCACATCCAGTTTGTTGTTGTTGTTGTTGTTGTGTTGTTTTTTCGAGACAGGGTTTCTCTGTGTAGCTTTGCGCCTTTCCTGGAACTCACTTGGTAGCCCAGGCTGGTCTCGAACTCACAGAGATCCGCCTGCCTCTGCCTCCCGAGTGCTGGGATTAAAGGCGTGCACCACCACCACCCGGCAGATAAATAGAATTTTTTTTTTTTTTTAGTTTTTTGAGACAGGGTTTCTCTGTGTAACTTTTTTTTTTTTAAAGATTTATTTATTTATTATGTATACAGTGTTCTGTCTGCATGTATGCCTGCAGGCCAGAAGAGGGCACCAGATCTCATTACAGATGGTTGTGAGCCACCACGTGGTTGCTGGGAATTGAACTCAGGACCTCTGGAAGAGCAGTCGGTGCTCTTAACCTCTGAGCCATCTCTCCAGCCCCTCTCTGTGTAACTTTGAGCCTTTCCTGGAACTTGCTTTGTAGACCAGGCTGGCCTCGAACTCACAGAGATCCACCTGCCTCTGCCTCCCAAGTGCTGGGATTAAAGGCGTGTGCCACCACTGCCCAGCTGAAACCACATCAAGTTTAAGGAAGACGAAATAAGGCTAACTGTCATGGTCATGGCTCAGATGATTGTTAAAAATCTTAACATTTTTATTATAATATGTAGCATCTATTAGACACAAAGTTCCAGCTATGAAGACATATATAACATATGCCTGTATTATCATTTGACTTTCATGACAAACTGTGTGGTTTCTACTATTCTATTATTATTATCTCCATCTTACAAGTGAACTTAGTCAATAGTCATGGTACTGAAAGTGGTAAAAAGAGTCTGCGATCCACATCTGTCTGGCAACAAGACATACAGCTTTCCATATTATGCTGAAGGATTTAGAGTTTATCCTTTAAGGTAAAGGCAACTTAAAACACATATTTTAAAACAAAAACGTTGTAATTCCCAGAAAGCCATGCCTGGTTTCTCCTACTCTGATGGTGCTAACAAATGAAAATCGGGGGTTGGGGGAATGAGTACAATTATACATGCAGTAGCCAGTGAGAAAGCTACAATATTTTGGGAGTAATGGGCATAAAAGAAGACAGGACAAGGATGAAAGTTTAGATACAATGTCTGGACTTGGTCATTAATTGTCTGGAGAAATTAGAGAGAAAGAAGAAACTGGGGGAACTGAGTTTGAGAGGAGTAAATGTTCCTTAGACGTGCAATATTGGAGAATGACCTCTGTGGGGAGGGGAACCCAGTTATGGGCGCATTCAGTGGGAAGATTCTGGAGCCTTACTGACTGGACCTTAGAGAACTGTGGGACAGGCTTTACCTTTGTGAGGTACAAGCATGTATCCATATTCAAAGTCTGGCATGTAACTGATTCCTCAGCAACATAGGTGTGTAAATGAGAACACAGAAATGAGGCTGAGAAGGGTGGAATCAAAAAGCAAAACTGCAAATCATGATGTCTTGCCTGTAATCCCAGCACTCAGAAGGCAAAAGGCAGGGGGATCACAGCAAGTTTAGAGCTAGACTGAGCTACACAGCAAGTTACAGGCCAGCCAGGGTTATATGACAAAACTCGGCCTCAAAAACAAAGAACTAGATACAATGTTAAGATTTATAAAAGTTAACCTGGACGTGGTGGCTCATGTCTGTAACAGCACTCAGGAGGCGCAAGCATGAGGGTTTTCACAAGTTCAAGGCCTGAGTGAAGAGTAAGACAGTGAGATTCTAGATCAAGAAAGTGTTTTAACCCTAAGGTTCAGGACCTGGACTTAAAGGCTAGAAGAATACTCAGCACCCAGAGGGTAGAATGGAGAATTCAAACTTCTAGAAGGAAAGTGTAGGCTGTAGTGGAAAGAGAAGCCTGTGTGCAAGATTTCCCTGTTTCACTAATTCCAAGCAACACCATAAGAGGAAACAAAGAATAATTCTCCTTTCCTGTCTTCGTTCCTACAGAATCCTTACTATGCATATTTTGGATATCACGGCTTTGGAGGTCGTCCTTATTATTCGGAAGAGATGTTTGAAGATTATGAAAAACCCAAAGAAAAAGATCCTCCTAAACCAGAGGACCCACCCCCAGACGACCCACCCCCAGAGGCCTCCACTAACTCAACTGTGCCAGAGGCTAATGCCACACAGTCAGTTCCTGGAGGAAGTCAAGGCGGAAATGATACTAGCCCAATAGGGAACAGGGGCCCTGGGCCGAATGCTGGCAACAACCCTACAGTTCAAAATGGTATCTTCCCTCTCCCGAAAGTAAATGTTTCAGGCCAAGGAGTATCGAAAAACCAAATTCCGTGGAGACCAAGTCAGCCAAATATTTATGAGAATTATCCTTATCCGAATATGCGAAATTATCCTTCAGGAAGACAATGGCAAACCACTGGTACCATGGAGCCCAGACAGAACAGACCTGGTTACCAAAACCCACAAATACAAAGGGGTCCTCAGTGGAATTCCTTTGATTGGGAAGGCAAACAAACTACTCGTCCAGGAAATCCAACTTACCGCAAACCTCTCCCTCCTACTTCAGGAGTCAATTATGCCAACTCTGCAGGAAATCCAGTAAATTTTGGAAGAAAATTGCCTGGGCCAAATAAACCCTTTCTGGGAGCCAATCCAGCCCCAAATAAACCCTTCGTGGGACCCAATCCGGCCTCAAATAAACCCTTCAGGGGAACCAATCCAGCCGCAAATAAACCCTTCATGGGAACCAATCCGGCTTCAAATAAACCCTTTCTGGGAACCAATCCGGCTTCAAATAAACCCTTTCTGGGAGCCAATCCAGCCTCAAATAAACCCTTTGTGGGAACCAATCCAGCCTCAAATAAACCCTTTCTAGGAGCCAATCCAGCCTCAAATAAACCCTTTGTAGGAACCAATCCAGTCCCAAATAAACCTTTTGTGGGAGCCAATCCAGCTGCAAATAAACCCTTTGTGGGAACCAATCCAGCTGCAAATAAACCATCTACAGGAGCCAATGCTGCCGCAAATAAACCATTTGTGAGAAACAATGCGGCCTCAAATAAACCATTTGTGGGCACCAATGCTGCCACAAATAAACCACTTGTGAGAAACAATGCGGCCTCAAATAAACCATTTGTGGGCGCCAATGCTGCCTCAAACAAACACCCTGTGGGAACCAATGTGGCCTCCATGGGTCCTAAACAGGTTACTGATAGCCACAATGTGAAAACCCAAAATCCAAAGGAAAAGTCACTAGGTCAAAAAGAAAGAACAGTCAGTTCCACAAAAGATACAGCCAGACCCTGGAGAAACTCTCAACAATATGGAATTAACACACCAAATTATAATTTGCCTCACCCTGAGGGTAGCAGGGTAGGCCCAAATTTTAATTCTTTTGATCAACAAGAAAACTCCTACTTCTCAAGAGGAGATTCCAGAAGAATGCCAAGTCCCAAAATACAAATCCAAAGCCAGAATCTGCCCAAAGGAATTGCTTTAGAGCCAAGAAGAACCCCATTTGAATCAGAAACTAAGAAACCTGAATTAAAGCATAGTACACAACAGCCTGCGTACCCTAAGAAAATCCCTTCTCCTACAAGAAGACATTTCCCTGCTGAAAGAAACTCCTGGAATCACCAAGAAATCCCTCCACCCTTAAAGGAAGATCATGGGAGGCAGGAAGAAATGTTACCTTATCCTTCCTATGGCTCTAGAGGAAATATTTTTTACCATGACTATAACAACCCTTACTATCCTAATGAGAACTCACCATACATTAGAAGCAATACATGGAATGAGAGGGTTAGCTCTCCCAGTACTATGAGGCAACCAGAAAATCCACAGTACCCCATGAATTCTCTAGACCAGAAGGAGACAGAGCAGTATAATGAAGAGGATCCAATTGATCCAAATGAAGATGAATCTTTTCCAGGACAAAGTAAATGGGGTGATGAAGAGCTCAACTTCAAAGGAAGCCCAACAATTAGGCATTATGAAGGTGAAAAATACGCCTCAACCCTACCACAAGAATATCTTCCCTATTCCTTAGGTAAGCCACCTAAGGAAACTTTTCCTTACAGTGAAATCTATCCCTGGAACCCACATGAAAATTTTCCAATCTATAATCCAGGTCCTACGATAGCACCACCTGTGGACCCCAGAAATTATTATATTAATAATGCCATAGGACAAGAAGAAAGCACTCTCTTTCCTTCATGGACCCCCTGGGACCATGGAAATCAAGCACAGAAGCAAAGAGAAAGTGAGCCATATTTCAGTGGAAATGTCTGGGGTCAGTCCACAAGTTTCCATAAGTCTAATCCACCAAACCAGAAGAGGAACCATCCTTATTCTACCAGCTCCCCTGCTGGACTTCCGAAAGACCCAACATGGCTTGAAGGTGAGAATTCGAACTATGATTTACAAATTACTAATTTAAATCCACCAGAGAGAGAACAGTTGGCTTTCCCTGATTTCATTCCTCAAAGTTACCCATCAGGCCAAAATGAAGCACACTTATTTCACCAGAGTCAGAGAGGTTCCTGCTGTATTGGTGGCTCCACGGCACATAAAGACAATGTGCTGGCTCTACAAGACTACACTTCATCCTATGGTCTTGCACCAAGGGAGATCAAAAAACCCAGCCCTGTGCATACAGAAAGTAGTTATACCAAGTATGCAAGACCTCATGTCTCCCCAACCAGCATCCTACCTAGTCAAAGAAACATCTCAGAGAATAAACTAACTGCAGAAAGCCCAAACCCAAGTCCTTTTGGAGATGGTGTGCCTGCTCTGAGGAGGAACACACCATATTCTGGAAAGAATCAACTGGACACCGGAATTATGGCCTTGCCTGAAGCCAGCTCTCCTCAGCCAAAAAATACACCCTGTCTTAAAAGTGACCTTGGAGGAGATCGGAGGGATATTCTGAAACAATTTTTTGAAGGCAGCCAGCTCAGTGAAAGAACTGCTGACCTTATTCCTGAACAGCTCGTTATTGACATCCCTGATAAAGGCTCTGGCCCAGACAGCATACAAAGTGAAGGCCAAGGAAATGGGGACGAGATGCAGCAGCAAAGACCACCTACCATCCTTAAGGTGCCATGTTTTAGCTCCAAATTAGCAAAGTTTCACTCTTCAAGCACTGGACCTCCAACTAATGATGGAAGACAAAGCCTGCTCAATGGAGCTCTCTCTACACCTACTGAAAATCCTAAGACATCAGTTGGGTTAGCTACTAGGGAACAATTTAAAAGTATAAATGTAGATCAAGCGAATGCAGATGAACACACTACATTTGAAGCTTTTCAAGGAACCAGTCAAGAGGACCAAGTACAAGGCTGCTTACTGCTTCAGGCTTAGGGATCACTTCAACCGAGCATTCTCGGGGCATGAAAACAACTAGCAATCCTACGTCAATGATTTTGTAACTCTGTCCCCTGAGACTTGATTATCTGATCTTCTTGCTGATCCCTGCGTCTTTCACCCTCCCAACAGTAGAAACAGTGTGGCCCAGGTAGAGTTAATGAGAGTGGGCCTTTGGGGCTGGCTGGATCCAGCACTGTAACAAATTAGTGCACACTTAAGAAAAAGCATGAAGGCTGTGGCCATTCCTGCCTTGAAACTTGGAAGCTATTTGTCTGATTGTCTGAGTTAGTTTCCTCTTTCTTGCTCAGTTATCCTTTTTCTCTCAAATTCCTTACAACGTTGTTTGGTTTTGCACATCTAGCAGGCTGTTGAGTCTTCCCAATTATATAGAGGCCTGCACACCAGTATAGTCCTGATGCACTGTATACTTTTTTCCTTTGTGTTGTTCTTGTTCATTCTGTTTCCTAGTTAATATGATCTCTGGCAATTTTCCTTCTACTGTCTTCTAACTTCATCATTTGCTTCCTTCTTCCTCCTTTGATCTTCTCTTTCTCCGTCCTTCTCTATAGAGCTCCTCCCCATTCTCTCCATCACTTCTCACATTCTGAAGTAGCTATCCTTGACCATCGTCTGTCTGTTCTGTCTCCTAGTGTGTAACTTTGACCTTTAACCAATTCATTTTTCCTCTGACTCTTTTTTCTCCTTAAATTTCTTGTTTTTCCTACTTTATATATATACATATATATGTATGCCATTTTTCATGCTTTTCACTCTCTTTTAATCTACTCTGTAAATTCTACTCTCTGATTTTTTTTCTCCACCAAACCATCACTGGAGATAACACATCTGAAGTAGCTACTTTCATTGTTAATTTTCTCCTGACCTCTCCAAGTAGACAGCCTTGTTAAAAGAGCATATTCTAGGAGAATGGAAGACAGGCTAATTATCAGATCACAGAGCTTAGGAAAGTGGGAAATGAAGAAGAGAAGAAATTGTCGCTCTGGGACTGAGTAAACAGAAAAAGAGACTAAGTAAGGCTTGCTACACCCTGTCACCAATTCACAATCTCCAGGATCTGCAGAGGCCGCTTGGGGAAGACTACCTTATGCAGATAAAATACTCAATGTTCAGTTGTCTTCACTAGTTCAGTATACATTATTGTACCACTATATATATTGTGACTATCATGCTTATGATTCATGTTCTTGTAGATTATTCACAGACATAACTTCCGGGTATCATAACTAAATAGTGTAAATTATTTTGTAAAGTAGATGTTTCTATATTGTCTTGCTTAGAATATATTTGAGTTTTATTGATATTATTTTTACTGCTATTAAAGGCATTTTGGCCTGTTATCTGGATATTGCCTGTTTTAAGTCTGGGGGTAAAAAAAAAAATCTCTAAATTAAATTATCTACAAAGTTACTTTCTATTCCTAAGGAGTTTCTTAGAGAAATTTTCCTGTGACAGATTTTTTATGACCTCAGAAATTTGGTGAAACCATCCCAAGAAAAGAAACTTGGCCCTTGAGTCTAGTATTATGTCTTACCAATAGGAGATTCCCAACAAGCGTTTCCTGGTTGGCTGGCTTCTGAATGCCTTTAAACATTCACACGGCTACTGGCTCCTCCTGTGGGAGATATGTGAGGATACTGGATAAGGCCCCATGTCTTCTAGCCTGGTGTTCAGCAGCATCGGCATTGCATCACTGCAGACCGTGCTACCCACTGATGGCTTACATTCCTCCCCAGCCCACCAGTTTTAGACTTTAACCATAGATCAAAAACCACTAGCTTGTTATTTTCTCCCAAACCTCAGTGTGAATACTTTCACTACAAAATGTTCACTTTGTATTTCACCATAATGAATAGGTGGCACAGTTGTTTTAGCAAATATTGTCATGCCAAGAGTGATGAGCCCAAGGCACAGGGGTAGAAGGATTAACCAAACATAAAAGTTTTAGTAAAGAACAGAGACTTCGGACAGAGACGCAGTGGGCAAGGTCTCATGGGCAGAGTCCCACCCGTGAAAGAGAGTGATGTGGTTCTTGTACGAGAGTTGAGAGAAGTCACCTGGGCAGCCCCCTGAGCCTTTCATGCACGTCAGGTCTGCTCTGAACAGAGTGGAAATGGCAGCTTACTATAACATGGTTAAGGGACACTGGGAATAGGGCTGGTATAAGGTGTGCAAGTCACTGGGCCTGGCTCTAAACAGTAATAACCTAGTGCCGCTGAGTGAGTAATTTTGTTTTTTAGGGGGCTTTGGTTTTGGCCCTTTTGTGGGCTTTTTAAATTTTATTTTATGTTTTATTGCTTTGTGGTGGTGGTAGTGGCATTTAATTTTTTCCCCTCTGGTTTTGGCCTTTTTAAAGTCTCTACAAATATGTTGACACAGCTACATCTTTGAGATATTACTACTGTCATCTGTAATGTAAAGTGTAAAAATCACAGTGTGACCAAAAACAAATCTACTAAACTTGAGAACATAATAAAAAGAATGAAAATGGTCCTGTAGATAATGATACTTCTTCCTATGAGCACAAGGATGCTTCTACAAGTCTGCCTAGTAGGCGTGAGTTCCTTGCATTAAATATATTGCTCACTCTGTGTTCTGCTTAATTGTTCATAAAGCTTTTGAAGTCTGCTCTAAAGTAAGGAGCACATAGTAAATGTTCTGATAACAACACACCCTTTACCTCTAGCATCTCCATCCTGCTACTCCTGCTCACTTCTATAGTGGACGACTATATCTAACAGTCATGTCTGCTGGTTCTAACATAGCTAGGCATAACCTAGGACATCCCTAGGAGATAAATTATCCAGAAGAAAACCATACCTAAAGGTTACAGAAACAAGAGCTGGCCCAGAGGCTCATACACACCTTCTGTCACAGCAGCTCTGGAGGCACGGTCTGTTTCTCTGGGGAAATCTGGGTGCTTTACTCCACAGAAGGTGAAGTAGAATAATGAGGTGCAGGGTCCAGCTGACCTTCTGCGAATTCACCTTGGCAGGCATTTTCATGGAGACACTTCCTCCATGTTTCTGGAGCATCTAAAGATGTAGACAACACATTTAAATTTGGCCACTCAAACCAGAGTCACAAATTTAATACATCTTTTTTGGTTTGGTTTTTCAAGTCAGGGTTTCTCTGGGTAACAGGCCTGGCTGTCCTGGAACTCAGTCTGTAGATTAGAAGACTAGGCTGGCCTTGAATTTAGATTAAAGGTGTGTGCCACCACACCCAGCCATTTAATACAGCTTTAAAGAAAATTCTGAGTTACTTTTATGGCTTATTTAGGCATTTCTATTTCTATTAGGCATATTCTATTTCTATTCTATTTCTATTTCTCTTGTCTCATTTAAGCCAGTTTCAGTTACCACCTTTAAAATATTATTCATCTTGTATTCATGAAGCCAAAAGTCATCTCTAAGAACCAAAAGGGGAACCAAAAATGTTGGACTTAAAAAGGACAGGTCTGTCTCTACTCCGTAAAACCTTAAAGGTTTCACTGTGACTCAGGCCAACAGCTAACTGCACCCCCAAAGGAAACTGCACTTGATAGGAAATAGTCACCATTTCACCAAAGGATATAATATTTGGTTTCCTCTACCTGCACCTCCTTGCCTCTCTGCCTCACCCTATTCAGTAACAACCTTTTGCTCTCTCTTTGAAGGTAGAGTCCATGCAATTTAGAAACACAAATCAGATGGTAACAAGCAAAAGATATGCTAGAGAACGGAAGCCCATATTGCTCTTGTACTGAACAAAAATTAATTGGGAATTTGTTTGCAAGTTCTCTGTTCTATATTAAACCCTCTGTCTTAGTGGTCATGACTTAGTCATCCTTAATGCTGGATAAAGTAGTGTTTCTTGTTTATTCTTTGTCAAGAGTGTTTTAGTTACTATAGGTGATGGAAATTTCCATATAAATTTTAGAATAAACTTACTTATACCTGCAAAAAAGAAAGAAAGAAAGGAAGGAAGGAAGGAAGGAAGGAAGGAAGGAAGGAAGGAAGGAAGGAAGGAAGGAAGGAAGGAAAGGAAAGAAAAGAGGGACAAGCTGAGCTGTAATCTGACAGAGAGTAATATGAAATGAATAAAGTTGTGCTCAATAACCCCCACCCCCACCCCTCCCCGGTCAAGACCTTCTGTTTGTGCCTTATTTCATCCCCAGCACCTGGTAACACGCACAAGGAGGGACAGGATTCTTTTTTTTTTTGAAGGGTTTTTTTTTATTATTCATTTTACATACCAACCACCGTTCACCCCTCCTACTGTTTCCCCCTCCTCAGCCTCCCCCCCAACCCAACCCCCATCCCCTCCTCCAAAGGGTAAGGCCTCCCATGGGAGTCAACAAAGCCTGGTACATTAAGTGGAGACAGAACCAAGCCCCTCTCCCCCTGCATCAAGGCTGAGCAAGGTATCCCGCAATAGGGAATGGGCTTCAAAAAGCCAGCTCATGCACCAGGAATAGATCCTGGTCCCACTGCCTGGGGCCCCTCAAACAGACCCTATTCAACTGTCTCCCACATGCAGAGGGCCTAGTTCGGTCCCATGCAGGCTCCGCAGATGTCGGTCTGGAGTTCACGAGCTCCCACAAGCTTGGTTCAGTTGTCTCTGTAGATTTCCCCATCATGATCTTGACTCCTCTTGCTCATATAATCCCTCCTCCCTCTCTTCGACTGGACTCCCTGAGCTCGGCCTGGTGCTTGACTGTGGATCTCTGCATCTGCTTCCATCAGTTACAAAATGAAGGCTCTATAATGGCAGTTAGGGTAGTCACCAATCTGATTACTGGGGAAGGCCAGTTCAAGCACCCTCTCCACTATTGCTAGTAGTTTTTGCTGGGGTCTTCCTTGTGGATTCCTGGGAATTTCCTAGCACCAGGTTTCTCCCTAACCCCATAATGGCTCCCTCTATCAAGACATCTCTTTCATTGCTCTCCCACTCCGTCCCTCCTCCAGCTCGACCATCCCATTCTCTCATATTCTCATCCTTCATCTACTCCCCTCTACTGCACCCCCTCCCTAGTTTACCAAGGAGATCTCATCTATTTCCCCTTCCCAGGGAAATCCATACATCCCTCTTAGGGTCCTCCTTGTTGTTACCTAGTTTCTCTGGAGCTGTGGGTTGTAGTCTGGTTATCCTTTGCTTTATATCTAGTATCCACTTATGAGTGAGTACATACCATGTTTGTCTTTCTGAGTCTGGGTTACCTCATTCAGGGTGATTTTTTTTTCTAGTTCTGTCTATTTGCCTGCAAATTTCATTATGTCATTGTTTTGTACAGCTGAGTAATACTCCATTGTGTAATTGTACCTCATTTTCTTTATCTTTTCTTTGGTTGAGGGGCATCTAGGTTGTTTCCAAGTTCTGGCTATTAAAAATAACTCTGCTGAGCAAGTGTCCTTGTGCTATGATTGAGCATCCCCTGGGTGTATGCCCAAGTGCCATCATTGGGTCTTAAGGCAAATTGAGTCCCAATTTTCTAAGTCACCATACTGATTTCCAAAGTGGCTGTACAAGTTTGCACTCCCACCAGCAGTGGAGGAGTGTTCCCCGTACTCTGCATCCTCTCCAACATAAGCTGTCATCAGTGTTTTTGATCTTAGCCATTCTGACAGGTGTAAGATGGTATCTCAGTTGTTTTGATTTGCATTCCCTTGATGACTAGGGATGTTGAGCAGTTCCTTAAATGTCTTTCAGCCATTTGAGATTCTTCTGTTGAGAATTCTCTGTTTAGATCTGTAACCCATTTTTTAATTGGATTATTTGGTATTTTGATGTCTAGTTTCTAGAGTTCTTTATATATTTTGGAGATCAGCCCTCTCTGTCAGATGTAGGGTTGGTGAAGATCTATTAAATGAAACTATGAGTGAAATAACCCTTTCCTCTCCAAGTTGCTTTTAGTCATGGTGTTTCATCACAGCAATAATAACCCTAATGTAGACGAATTTCTAAATGGTCTTATTAAGTAAAAAGCATCATCTGGGCTTCAGCAGTGTCCAGTACTACCCACTCCTACAGCTCTACCACCCACAGTATATACACTATTTCTCCAGCTGACTCCACTCTGTGCATTCAATTTCCCTTAGTGGACACCCCAAGATCCTGGCATCTTCAAACATCCTGAGGTCTCCATTCTGACTTAGGTGTCACCTTCACACATCTAGGTCAGACTCAAGGAAAAGGTTTCCAAGACTCTCCTTGCAGGGAATTCAACCATGTCACATATCAGCTTTACAAAACCTTGGTGCAAGTCGCCATAACTCTGTAGTTCATGCATTTTGTTTTTCCTGCAGATCCATATCCATATATACAATGCTGCCATGTTCTGTGGCCAGCTCAAGATGTAGTTTGGCTCCCTTCTCTTATAGTTGTAGTGGCTGAACCTAGGGCGTTGTTTTCAAGAAGAGACTTCAGCTGTATTCTAGATTGAAGCTGTCTCCTTTCAAATGAGTTTGTACTTCACAATGTGGAGTCTTTGAGGGATGCGGCCATGCTATCAAGATACCTTTCCTGCCGGGCGGTGGTGGCGCACGCCTTTAATCCCAGCACTCGGGAGGCAGAGGCAGGTGGATCTCTGTGAGTTCGAGGCCAGCCTGGTCTACAGAGCGAGATCCAGGAAAGGCGCAAAGCTACACAAAGAAACCCTGTCTCGAAAAACCAAAAGAAGAAGAAGAAGAAGAAGAAGAAGAAGAAGAAGAAGAAGAAGAAGAAGAAGAAGAAGAAGAAGACGACGAAGAAGAAGAAGCAGAAGCAGAAGCAGCCACAGCCTGGATGCTATGCTGTCTTGAAATTTGAAGTTCCCTCTGCTGAGCAACTTAGTCTATTAGTTTTTAATTCAGCCTCACCCAAACACTCAGGGCTCTGGCAGAACGCAGTCACATTCTATTCCAGAATGTAGCATGAAGAGCCCTATGCCAGTTCTCAACAGAGGCTTTCCCTTCTGAAATCTCATGACAGGCACACATGGTTCGCATTTCTCTTGGCAGTCTGTTCTCAACTCTCCTCAGAATAATCTATTAAGTTCAGTTTACAGCATTCAAGGCTTCTCTAGCCTGTAGCTCCAAACTCTTCCACATTTCTCCTGCATATCAGTTCCAAAGACCTCTGCTCATATGGTCAGGTTTATCACAGCCACACCCTCACTACTCAGTACCAATTTTCCTCTATCTGTTACTTTTTGGTGCTCTGGGGGAAAAAAACCGATTTCTTTGGTTCAGAGTTTGAAGGCACAGTCCCTCATGTCAGGGAAGGCCTGGTGTCAAGAGCGTAAGTCACACTGCACCTGTATTAGGGAAGCAGAGAGCCGTGAATGCTGGTGTTCAGCTTGCTTTCTTCTCTTTATTCAGTCTAGGATTCCGACCCATGGGATGATGCCGTCCACATAAGAAACTCCCTCAGAAACCTGCCTAGAGATCTGTCTCCCAGGTGAATCTAGGCCCTGTCAAGATGACAGTATTGAGAGTCATAGCCATTTAGAAAGGAAGCTGGTTCATGGTTTGGGGGTACAGTCCATAATGGTGGGGTGTTGGGGCAGTCATGGTGTTGTTCACTACAACAGCTATCCTAAGGGAAACATAAGCACACACACATGTATGTGGATATATCCTTGTTTTCATGGACCCAAACTAAATAAATAAATGTAATTGTCTGGGTTGGGGATTTAGCTCAGTGGTAGAGCACTTGCCTAGCAAGCGCAAGGCCCTGGGTTCGATCCTCAACTCAAAAAAAAAAGAAAAAAAGAAATGTAATTGTCAAAAATCTTTAGGTGTGCTACTTTGTAAAATGAAAACAGAACTCTTCATAATCCTATGAAAATTAAATGAGACAATGCATATTTAAAAATTTATAGTCATTGTACTCTGTAATTCAACCACTAGGGGGAAGTAGAGGCTCATAATCCTAATGCTATGGTTGCACTGTCCCCCTACAGCAGCAGAACTTAGGAATTTGTAAAAGCTGTAATTTCCCCAGCTTCCACACCCCAAAACCACTTAATCAGCATCTTTTGAGGGGAGGAGCTTAGTAACCTACTTTCCTGAGTCCTCCGGGTTATTCTCATGCACTCTGAAGTTAGGAAGCACAACACATACCTGTGTTATTCACTAGTCTGCTGCCTTGGCAGAAAGATGAGCAAAAGAAAATAGTAACAACTGTAATTTACTAACTATTGCTAATTACTATGACAGCTACACTAAATGACATATAAACACAGATACATATAGAGGATGTATCATCATTCTCACAAAAGTCTATGGGATAGTTATTTGAATTCCATTTTTAAAAGAAGAAATGATCTTAAATTGAATTACCTTGCCTGATGCTAATTCAGTCACTTAAGAGTTTGTATTTCCGTGCTAGAAACCCCATCCAATGACTGAGGGATCTAGATGCAGAGATCCACGGCTAGGCCCCGGGTGGAGCTCCGGGAGTCCAATTAGCGAGAAAGAGGAGGGTTTATATGAGCGAGAATTGTTGAGACCAAGGTTGGATAAAGCACAGGGACAAATAGCCAAATGAATGGAAACACATGAACTATGAACCAATGGCTGAGGGGTCACCAACTGGATCAGGCCCTCTGAATGGGTGAGACAGTTAATTGGCTTGATCTGTTTGGGAGGCATCCAGGCAGTGGAACCAGGTCCTGTGCTCATTGCATGAGTTGGCTGTTTGAAACCTGGAGCTTATGCAGGGTCGCTTGGCTCGGCCTGGGAGCAGGGGACTGGACCTGCCTGGACTGAGTCTACCAGGTTGATTTCAGTCCTCGGGGGGAGGCTTTGCCCTGGAGGAGGTGGGAATGGGGGGTGGGCTGGGGGGAAGGGGAGGGGGGGAGGGGGGAGAACAAGGGAATCCGTGGCTGATATGTAGAACTAAATTATATTGTAAAATAAAATAAAGAGTTTGTATTTCAACTTGGGTCACTAAAGTTACCTACTAGACTAATATACACAGCCAAGACCTGGAAAGTCCACCCACTGTTCCCAGTCAGAAGTACCTACATGTTTGGCTTCTGACTCAGCAGTTACTTTCCATAGTGCCCTTCGGTAAACACATCAATTGGCCATGGTTTCCTGCCGTAAGGTTTCTTTGTGTGTGACCAGTTATTATTCTGAAATTGCCCTACCATTTATGTGAGCGCTTTCTACTTGGACAAAGCTGTATAAAGTTTTTTGTTTTTTAGTTTTGTTTCGTCTTTTTGAGGGGGCATAATTTGTTTTCTTTTGTTTGCAATGCTGGACATCAAACTCGAGGCCTTAAACATGATACGCAAGCACTTAGTACACCTCCTGCTTCCATACATTGGGTGCTACATGCTATGGGCCTGACCTTTGTCCTAAATTTTAAATGTGAAATGACAAAGATTTCCCAAATATGTACTCATATAAACTTAGTGATGAATGCACCACTACATCATGCTTACAAACTGTTTGCCAATAATAAGTTATATTTAATTTACATATAAGAAGATTAAACACGGGCTGGAGAGATGGCTCAGAGGTTAAGAGCACTGGCTTCTTTTCCAGAGGTCCTGAGTTCAATTCCCAGCACCCACATGGTGGCTCACAACCATCTATAATGAGATCTGATACCCTCTTCTAGCCTGCAAGTCTATATGTAGACAGAACACTGTATACATAATAAATAAAACTCTAAAAAACATTTATAAAAAAAGATTAAACACAAGCAAAAATGTTCCAATAAATTATTTCACACAGGTGTATATATGCTTATGAATCTATTTAATTGTTCAAACTGTGCTAGAGAATACATATTTAGGAATACAAATTTCATTAGACTCAGCTGCAACACAGAAGACTCCTCTAAGAATTTCAGACAATAATCTGATTGTCAAAAAATTTATCAAAAAAAAAATCAAGTGCCAAGTCTGTGTTATATGAAAATACATTTTTTTCATTTGTGCATCAAATCATATCACTTTCAGCAAAATGGTTTTGTAAATAGTTCCAAAATGTGTCCTTTACAGCTTCTAGTAAAGATATATAATTGCCCTGTGTTTATGTGTATGTTTTCTCTACACAGTGAGACATTAAGAGAGAGAATAGTACAGAATGTGCAGAAGTTCCAGCTCTCCACGGCAAAGTAAGAAAGAAAAGGGATTTAATTTAATTACGTCTCTTGACTTTTACTCTTGGAATTTTACTTTCTCCCCTTGTTTACATTTTTAAACACTAGAAAATGAACTCTTGAAAATACCTCCTCAGGCAGACATGAGGATTTAATACTGAGACTCGAGAAGGAATTACATAATAATGACAGCAATGTTGATATTTTAACTATTTTAAGGGAATGTTAGTTTTATACCATCCAAAAGGAAAAAAAAATCCTGGTTTCAAATTCATTCGCAGTAAGGATAACTTCTGGGTTCAAATGGAGAGCCCCTAAAGACAGAGTTGCAGAGTGAGTAATGACTCAAACTAGTCGGGGTAGCAGGAGTCAGGGGTCAGAGCTGTGGTCACCATTTTAGTCTCACCACGGTACGTAAGTGGGACCATAGCTGTGTAACACCTATTTCTGTTGTACATGTAGCAGGTCTCGGGAACAGCACTGTCTTCGCTGCAGAGAGTGCTCTGGCTGGCAGTAACAACCTGATTATCCAGCTCCACTTCCACAGGATCGCATTTCTTACAGCTGGAAAAAAACATAGGCATTAGAAATCCCCCAGTCAATATTATCTTAATATACAAGTCACTATAAATGTTTATCTGACGTCTGTTAGTTCTTGTAGCTCTAATCTACAATAAATGATGAGTCTTTCCAGACCTAATCATCTGCAAAACAAAGAACACTTTATAAAATTCTTTAATCATCCCTGTACAAAAAGTATGTGAAAGTAAGCAATATCATTAATGATATGATGATACAATCATCTTACCTACACTATCCAGCAGCTTCCATTGTGTTAGTTTCTCCATAGCTGTAAGTTTGTTTCAATGAATTCAGTTTCAGTGACAAGAGGAATATATATATATATATTATATATGTAGATATACATATATCATAGATGCGGATCTACATGTACAGACAGATATATTTAGGGAACAGTGTTTCACTATATTGCTCATGCTGGCCTGGAACCATCACTCCTCCTAACCCTGCACCATCCTCTTGAGGGAATTTTCAGGAGGTGTTTTTTGGTGTGGTTTTTTGAGACAGGGTTTCTCTGTGTAGTTCTGGCTGTCCTGCAATTTATTCTGTAGACCAGGCTGCCCTTGAACTCAGAGATCTGCCTGGCTCTGCCTCCCGAGTGCCAGGATTAAAGGCATGTGCCACCATGCCCAGTGAGGGACCTTTTTTTTTTAACTGTTTAACATTGGATTCTATCATCTGCAAAGAAACACATGCATGCTAAAACCTAAAGCTACTTATTTAAATGTGGAGATAAATCAGCGCCTTCTGTATAAATAACAATAATTTCTTCTTTGGAATAAAGTTATTGCTACTATTTTCCTATGACCAAGTTTTATGAAGTTCTGGTACCTAGTCATTAACATAGGATCAGTGTATTCAAAAGGTCAGACATTTGTCAATGTCTTATATCCCAATGTATTTTCAGAAATATCATTATTAATAAAGTTAATTAAAAGTAATTAACTTCAACATATGTAAGTATGAAGGAAAATCTTACAGGTCCGACAAATGGTACACAAATTTCGTTCTCAGTGGAGAGGTGGGATCCGAGATATTCTCCCTGTTGTTCAGAGGGACGCTAAAAGGAGAGAGAGAAAACAGTAAAACAATAAATACAAATATTGTTGTTTCTGGTGGTAATGTCTTAAGGGATTAGTATTTACTATTTAACTTATTATGACTTCACTCAATTGTAAACTATTACTCAGGTTTCACAATAATTTGTTATACTTTATCAGTTTCTTGACTATAATCTAGTTGTTTTCCTAATTTATATAGGGCGATGTGTGGAGTGTAGAAGGTGTTCTTTGTAGAATGAACAGGCAAAAAATATATTATCTATATTTTTAAAGATACATAAATTATAAATTTATTTTTATTCATTTTTTTATGTGCATAGGTGTTTTGTTTGCATGCATGTCTGTGTGCACCTTATTCATGTAATACCTCTGGGGGCATGTTTTATTTTATGGGTTTTTTTTAGGAAGGAGTTTTCCACCTGGTTTTGTTTGGGAGTGGGTTTTATTGTGTTTTCATTTATTCTCTTATTTTGGAGGGATTGTTTGGTGTAGTTTTATTGTTTGAGTATTGAGATGGTATTTCATATAGCTCAGGTTTGCTTCAAACTCACTTTGTAGCAAAGGATGACCTTGAACTCCTGATTCTTTTGCCTCCATCTCCCAAAGGCTGAGACTACTCAAGTGTGTCACCATTCCCAGTTCAGCATGGACTACTTTATATACTTTATATTGTATTCCCAGTACTAACCCTCAACATTAGCTCTTCACTAAATAAAGATTTTTTTGAATTAATAAATCTATGATTTGATTTTATTATAAAGGCTCTTATGATATTAGAAAAGGCTTTTTAACGTTTGTTTATTTATTTATTATATGTATGTGTTGATGGTGAGTGTGCTCATGCCACAGCACCTGTGTGGAGGTCAGAGGGTAACTGTGGGAATCAGTCCTCTCCTTCCACCGTGCCGTGTCCTGGAGACCAAATCCAAGTCATCTGGCTTGGCAGCAAACACTTTAATGCAGTGAGCCACCTCATTAACTCAAAAAAAGATTTTAAATGATGGGAATGACAGGGAAATAAACATTGATAAGGGTCTACTGTGAGCCAAACACTGTTCTTGTATAAATTTATATTATGTAGTCTAAGCCCCAAATACATACATATCTATACATGATTACCCTTTTTCACAGCTCAGGAATAAGGTTCAAAGTAAGTACATAACTTCCATAAAGCCACGCCATTACAGTAAGTACTAGACTTGGGAAGGTGCCGTAACGGCCCAGCAGTGGCAATGTCCTTAAAAAACACACAAGAAACATCAGTACGCATCAGCTAAGTGTCTGAAGTAAGTAAATTATCTGATTTCAGTAAATGATACAAGTAAAAGATGAATTAGAAAAATCCTGGAAGCTACCTAAACAATTGTCCCCCTGGGGATTCAAACATAAGTGGTTCTTCAACATGGTTTATGTGTAATGTCATGGACTAATTCCCTTTCATTGCATGTCTGTGAGAATCTATAACTTTCAACGAGTTTTGTGGGCAAAATCTGAGCAAAAACGTCTGCCCTGGACTTCTGTAAAATTTCTTCAGCTTGTTAACAAAATTCAACTTCAGTTAAGTCATGATTCAATCTCATTAAAGGGGCTACACATCAAAAGCGGATTCAAGACACTGCATTTAAACCAGGCAGGCCCTTGACGACCCCTCCCTGCTAAAGAGAGCTGCTTCTGAAAATTCCCCTGGGAATCAACGCTAAATCAAGACACAGAGACTGGAGAAGGGTTAGCCAAGCTGAGAGGGCTGACAGAAATAACTTTTGCACAGAGAGGACCGACCCAGTAGAAGTAAAAACACAATAAAAAGATGTAAAAAACAGGTAGAAAACACTGTGAACGTAGGGAAATAAAGACACACTACAGGATTCCTGGGTGGGGTTGTTTGTTTGTTTGTTTTTAACACAAAGTAAAGTGCACAATCTTCAGAGTTAAGCTAAGCTTTGTAGAGAGGGAAGGTACATTTGTAACAATATTGATAACAATCCTGGGGACAGCACCAAATGCATTTTATCAGGACAGTGACACAATGTTAATAGACACATAGTTAAGTAAATAATAGTACTGCTTAAATATGTGACAGAAACTATACAATCTTTAAAAAGAATAGACATTCTCAGTTTTTAAACAATAATCCTATGAAGTAGGCTCATTTTTTCTTCTATTTAAAGGTAAGAAATTTTAGGTTTGGAGTGGACAAATAATTTGATTATTTGTGAGAGTACAGTTACAAACTGATGCAGCCAGACTTTGAAACAATTTTTAAACATTATACTTTCCCCATTGATAGCTAAAATTGATTGCTATGTTCTTTTCCTACAATAGGTATTTGATTGGATAAAACTATTAAGGTAGGAGCACTTAGCAAGGAAAATTAATCACTGGTTGGATGAAGTAGAAATCTTATTTCTCAAGTGTTATCAGTATCCTTGCTATTGATTAAGAGCTACCAAGTATGTAAGTCTGGGCTGTATGTGAAATGAAATGAATGGCTCTGAGTCCAGTCTGAGTGGAAAGTCAATCTGTCAGCTTTAGTCAGTCTGCTTTATGAAGACAGTGTAAAATACTCACTAGTCCACAATTATAGAACAAAGTCGAGGGTTTACCATTACCTGAAGGTGCAGCCTGAGCTGACTAAGAACGACTGAAGAGATTCAAACTGAAAGCGTGCATATACACCGGCACGTCGGTGACTAAGTAGAAACCTCTGGTTTCCTTCACTTCTGCCCTCAACTTCTGTAAAGTTCCCTCCAGCTTGTTAACAAAATTCAACTTCAGTTAAGTCATGATTCAATCTCATTAAAGGTGCTACACATCAAAAGTGGATCAAGACACTGCATTTAAACCAGGCAACCCCCTTGAAGACCCCTCCCTGCTCTAGGGAGCTCGAAAAGAACAGAAATGTGAATGTCACATACACAATTCGGATATTTCTCTCCACAATGTCCTCATTAGGATCCTCGGTGGACCGGATGATCCTGGAAGTAACTCGGGTACACATGCATTTGTTGTCAGCAAGCAGGATCTTTTCATCATCACCTTGGGTTTGAAAGGTGAAATGTATCATGAAAAAAGAAAACACAGACCTATGTTGTCCTGGGTGTCGTGGTGCAGGCCCATAAGCCCAGTGCTTAGAAAATTCAGGAGGAAGGATGGGGAATTCCAGGGCTACCTAGTAAATTCTAAGACAGTCTGTATTACATAAAGAGATATTGTCTCTCTCAAAAAAAAAGTGCATGTGTTTTAAGATGAGTTACTTTGCTTTTCTTGCCTGAATATATAAGAAGTCTCATGCAGCCCAGGCTGGCCTGAAACTCACTTTGCAGCTGTGGCTGGTTTTGAACTCTCCATCCCCTGCTTCTACCTCCTGAAGTCCTGAGGTTACAAGTGCATGCCACTACACCTGGATCAAAAACTTTCATTTTTATTATTCATCAGTTCCAGTCTATTTGTTTCCTTTTAAAATCTAAAAGAATAAAAGAAGACTAAATACAATCTAAAGAGAATTTTCTTTTTCTTCATTGCAAAAATTAATGAGAAGCTAAAGCTGGGCAGTGGTGGTGCACATCTTTAATCCCAGCACTCAGGAGGTAGAGCCAGGAGGATCTCTGCGAGTTCGAGGCCAGCCTGGTCTACAGAGTGAGATCCAGGACGGGCACCAAAACTACACAAAGAACCCTGTCTCGAAAAATCGAAAAACCAAAAAGAAGAAGAAGAAGCAGCAGCAGCAGCTAGGCTGAAAGAATTCTGATTTCTATCTAATGCTTCTAATTTTTTTAATGATGTCACCTAGTAAAAATCAATAATAAACACCAAGATGAAAGATAAAACAGAAACCTACACTATTCCTCAATCAAAGCAAATACTTGAAAGTAAACAATGTGAAGCATTTACAAATCCAACTGGAAACACTGAGTCATTCCAGAATTCTCATTTCTTTTTGTAAAAATTTTCCCTTAAATTGTATTGGAACAAGCATCTTTTCTCCCAAGACTAAGTTATTTTGTAATCTTTAATGTTCTCCACCCAAACTTTCCTAAACTATCTATATTGTTTTTCATAATAATAATCACAGTACACAGATCCAACCAAAAAGAGCAACAAGAGCTATATTAATATTTCTTAGAAGAATTTTTTTAAAGGAGAGAATGGATATCAATGAAAAACACTGTCTGCAAAGTTTTGCTGCAAAAACAATTTAGAAAATATTGTTAGGTATGAGTTCAGTTTAATATACAATATCATTATACAGAAAAATTAGTAAATATATCAGTACATATTAAAGCTTTAACTTTGAGAGTCAATATTCATTCTCTGATCCATGACTCAAAAAGATGTAAATATTGCAAAGAATAAACAAAGAAAAATTCTAATTATATGATGTTGAATCAATAACAGATCATCTAAGAGCCAGTAATGGTCTTATTTTAATAGTTCTAGTTAAATAATAATGATGCACAATATTCTTTTTTCTATAACTTCAGGTATGCAACCTTTAAAATCCACCCCCATTGAGTTTCAACTAAAAAACTTATGAAGAATTAGTACAGACAGTCAAACTATAAAGGTTAAAGGGTCAGGACAGAGACCATTCTACTTGGAGACCTAACTATTCCTGAAAGTTAGCTCCCAAAGCAGAGAGAACTTAATTGAGATTCAGTCTTAATGGTAATAACTACTTCACAATTTTAAGATTGCTGTTATTGCATTCTTAATTGTTTGAAGAACAATGTGCTAGTATGCTATTATTCATAAATTCTTAATAAACCATCAAAAACAAGTCTTATGGTGCTGGAGAAGAGATGTCAGGGGGCAATTTAAGATAATGATATAGCACTTATTAATTCTCTAAAAAGGGCAAAATAATTCAAATGGTGTTCTCTTCCTTACATCTGTGTCTATAACTCTTAAATGCTTCTCTTAATGAAAATATACATGAGTATGTAATGTCTGATCAGAGATATACATTAACAGCCAAGAAAATTACTTCATTAGTAAGTATTAAATAGAAAATAGCCACACTCAATAAGGCATACTTATTTCCTTTCCAGAAACATAAGAGACCATCATTACTACTCATATATTTTTTAAAAATTAGTCAGCTTAATATATCTACCAGAAAATGTACAAAAACTCTTTATTTACCAAGACCTAGACTGTAACATTTTCTCCCTAAAATTAAGCCCTTTTCCTAACAAGTTATTTTATTTAAAAGTATCTGAGACATGGTAGATGTGCAATAAAGTATTTGCTAAATTGAATTGCATTCAAACAAATAGAATTACACAGCACTGTGTTGTGGATATGACTTCAATGGGTTCACTAAAGGTGGCTCCATGTTGCCAACAAAACAAGATAGTAGTTAGGAATGGGGGCTATGCGGTCAAATTGCCCAAGTCTACCTGCCACTTGCTACTGCGAGCTTAGGTAAGGTATTTCACCTCAGTGCCAAGTGTTTCAACTTGCTAGAAATAATAGAAGGATGCATAAAAGGGTATTGTGAAAATTAAGTGGAATACTGCAGGTAAAGCTTTTAGCACAATACCAAAATATCATATTACACAGTTCAATAAGGTAGAGCTGGTATGCCAGGTATGATGGCACATGCCTGCAATCCCAGCAGAGGCAGAGGAATTTGGACTTTGAGACCATCCTGGTCTACATAGTGAGATCCTGTCTCAAAAAACAGGAGATGGAGAACAACTATTTTATATATAGCTACATCTGTTTTATATAGACATGCTTACAGATATATAAACTTGTTTGAAAACACAAGTGTATATATACTCATATGTTTTGTTACTAGTATTTTATATTTTAAATATTATTTTTGAAATGTATTATTCATGTTATTAATAAAATATAAAGTGATTATGCTTAATGACATTTCTGTCTTGAAATAAGGATACACTTCTCTATTCAGAACATGTCCCTTGATACAGTTGTCAGGGAGATGAAAAACAAAATATCAGAAGTTCACACATCCTGAACAACACTAAACATTTTTAAAGGTTATGATATAAGGAAGTTATTGAAACTGATTCCATTTCTCTGGAGAGATAAGATAAAAATATATTCTATATCATAATTACCAGTTATTACTTCACTTCTTTAGAATAGTAATTAAGGAGACTCATGGAGAGGACTATTGATTTTTAAAGTTAAACATTGAAATTTATGTGTGTCTACCTGTATGTACCCCAAAATATTTATTTTCTTATGCTATAGACCGAGGTAGCCAAACAGAAGAAAAAAGAACAAAGAATACAATGAGCATTGTCTGTGTAAGATTAATATATAAACGTAAATCTTTAGACCTAGGACCTGTCTGCTCTCTATGTCCCCTTATCCCTGGCTTTATTGTATAGGTACCACCTACCGGTTGCAAGGACAGCCTTGACAAAAACGGCCAGGACTCCCCAGAGAAGCAAGTGGGTCTTCTTCATCCTGTCTTCACTTTTGAAACACTAAAGCCAGAAAGCCAGGGCCAAGGTGTGTGTCTATAAGGAGTGTGCAAATGATGCTGCTTCTGCTTTCTTAAAATAACATCCCAGGCAACGGCGAGCTGCAAACAATCCCAACTGTGGTTCAGATTTGAGCTGTATGCTACCCTGGAAAGAAGCATGTAGTTCATATTTAGATGTTTCTTTCCAATCTAAAGCTTTCCTGCAAAGCCAGGATTTGATGAATCATTTCTGCTTTGCATTTATGCTACAGCAATGTATAAACCCCAAGCCTAATAAGAATGTGAAGTCAGAACTCTATTGAGAATGTTTAAATGTGTTCTCAACTTCATCATCTGTATACGCTCTTATTAGTCTTCAAATCAAACATTTGACATTTTTCATAGCTGGAACAATAAGCACAGGGAAAGAGAAAAAAAGGAATGAAGGAAGAAAAGTAACAAAGCTTTCCAGGTTCCTAATTGCATACTGTGTCAGTTTCTCTGCTAGCCTTGAATTAACCAAATTATCATAATTAAATATCCATGTGTTTACTCTTGCCACTTTCAGTTTATTTTATAAGTTCAGACACAGAAGTAGAGTTTGAAACTGATAAGTCCTAAACTGTTACATTTTACTTCCACAGGCTTGAGAATGACTTCCTGCTTCCCCTCTTAGTAATTCCTTCCAGACATTCACTACGACACTAGCCACGCTGTCTCAACAAAAAACTGAATCACTGGAGTATATGCCTCAAAATTTTTCACTTAATTATTGTCAAATTTTAAAAAGAAAAACAGAGCCAGGCGGTGGTGGCGCACGCCTTGAATCCCAGCACTCGAGAGGCAGAGCCAGGCGGATCTTTGTGAGTTCGAGGCCAGCCTGGTCTACAGAGTGAGATCCAGGAAAGGCACAAAGCTACACAGAGAAACCCTGTCTCAAAAAACCAAAAAAAAAAAAAAAAAGGAAAGAAAGAAAAAAAGAAACCTGAGTTTTTATTCCCATCTCCAACATCCTAGAATCTCCTATCTCAGAAACAGGATGGCTACATTTGTATGCAATAGCAACAAATGTGTGTTATTTTAGCTCTTATCTATAATTTTGTAAGAGTCTCCTAACATTTTAAGAGGTAATAAACAATATTTCAAGGTCATAAGCAGGCAGCCTAAATGCAGGAAGTGGCAAAGATATGAAACCCGAGCACATAATTGCATCCTTCAAAGACTCTGTAGTGAAGGCTGAGGAGATGACTCAGGAGGTAAGAGCACTGGCTGCTCCTCCAGAGGACACAGGTTCAATTCCCAGCTTCCACAAGACAGGTCTCAACTGTCTGTAACTCCAGTTCCAGAGGATCCAGCACCTTCTTGTGGTCTCTGCAGGTACCAGACACACAAGTGGTACACAGACATAATACAGGCAAAAACCTATACACACAAAATAAAATCAATTGTACCTTTTAAAAAAGAATCTTTAGCAAAAGTCTAGCAAAAGCAAAGTACCAGGCACTATAACAAATGATTCCACTATACCATCAAGTATATTCTCATTTTAATACTACTCTGAATAAGACTCAAAAATTGCCTCTCCTGGTTCTCAGTGTGGTAGCACATGCCTGTAACCAAGTGTTCAGAGGCTGAGGTAAAATGATCATGAGTTCAAGGCCAGCCTGCCTATGAAGCCAAACACTGACTCCAGAAAAAAAGGAAAAGGAGAGGAGAGAGGGGGCGAGAGGGCAGGACAGGACTCCCAGGAACAATTTTATCTACCAGAAAAGCAAACAGATCTAAGAGGATATTTATGGTAATTATGGAAATCAAAACAACTATCAACTTTTAAGTTCCTAACCCCAACTACAGTTTCTAAATGACTGACTTATTCTATAACAGAGAGAGAGAGAGAATACGAATGATAATGAATTCAGAGGTGAATATAGCTGAGCAATCAACCACCTATAATCCCAGCACTTGAGAAGTAGAAGCAAAAAGAGCTCATGAGTTCAGGCCAACCTTGACTACACAGCAAACCTACAGTCAGCCTGGGCTACATGACACCCTGACCCTCTCTCACCCCCAAAAGTTAACTGGGTAGTTTAAGTCACTGTTTCCTTGAAAATATACTCAAGTCTCAACTGCCTCCCTCAAACAACTTGGATACACCTGTGGAGAAAGCAAAGTTTCCTCAAAACCTTCTTCTGTATAAAAGCAAAGTATGGTACATTTGTGATTATTAACATAAAGGAAAGCCCCGTATTTGGCGTCTCTGTCCCTTTTTGTCACTTTCCTAACCCTGTGGTTTAGTGCGTCTATTGTGTAAGCTACATATCTAACTGTAAAGATGATGCTGTAGCGTACTTTTGTCACAGGACGGGAGTAGCTTAGGCTGGTAATACAGGGTCTGAAATCAGTGTATGCCTGTGCAGTCTAGGGATCATCCACCTACAATCACTTGAAATATTAGTTAACATAGGATTTCCTGTTTACACTGAGCCAATTTCTGGAGAGATGGCCTAAGAATATGTGTTTTCAAAGGGCACCCCATCTGATTCTGATGTACTTTGAAGTTTGAAAACTGGTGGATAAGAAGCCTATGGGCAGAGTGGGCACCAACATTAAGTATTTATGAAAGAGTATGGGATTAATAAAGATTAAACTTCTAAAACAAATAGCATCACACTGAAAACAGGTTAGCTGAGCTGTCATTTGGTTTGAGGGGAGAGGCTGTTGCTGTTTTAAAACAGGGTCTTCCCATGTTATTCTAGCTGGCCTGGTACTCACTATGTAGCCAGGGCTGGCCTTGAACTCTCAGGAATCCTCCTACTGCAGCCTCCTGAGTGCTGAGTTACGGGCCTAGGCCATCACAGTTGGCTTCTCCACAGTTAATACTTTAACAGTTTGGATCTGGGTGTGAGACTTGGCCATGGCCCTAAGTGTCAGACTAACATTTCAATCTTTTTGACTCAGTCTTTTGCAGGTGAGCATGTTAGTTATTTCTCTCAATTTCACAATATTTGAAAACATGACACATGTGCCATCAGACTTAAATTATTAAGAAACAAGCTCAATGGGGTAGTGCAGGGAGAGTTTTCTGCTATATACCCTTCAAGTCTTATCTACAACCAACAACAACCCATAAGTACATTTGTGTGTATCAATTCATCTCAAGCTATGTAGTACAGCCATACAATAACAAAGACTGAAACTTTGTGTTTTCTTGTTGTTGCTGCTTGAGACAGGGCATCATATTTCCTCCCAGACTGGACTAACACTTAACTGTGTGGCTCTGTCTGAGCTTGAACCCTAACCCTCCAAAGTGCTGGGATTACAGGCATGAGCCACTACAGGCAGCTCCAGACTGCAATGCCCCTTTTCACCGACAAAGAATAGTGAGTATTCAGCGGCATACTCCCTCCCTCCGTTAGCCTCTCTTCAGTACCATCTCTCCCTGTGGAAGCCTCTTCTCACGCAAAGGGACTTGTGACAGCAGCCTGGCCTTCTTCCAGGGAAACACTTGAAGTGGTGATATTTTAATAGCCTTCTTGGCTGGAAGTCTAAGACGGAACAGAAATCTCTTGATTTTCTTTTTAATGGATTACGGTCTACATTTAATGTCATGCTGCATATTTCCCATCTGTCCTAGAACTACAAGTGGAGAAAACAAGCTTTAATAATAAATAAAATTTCCCAACCAGCCACAACAAACATTAAAAACAAAGTACACATTAAATCTTGAACTAAATGTCAGTCTATAAATTTCAAGTAACCTAACAATCTTTTAGATTTTAAAAGTAACTTCTGGGGCTAGAGAAATGTTTCAATAGTTAAGAGTACTGACTGTTCTTGCAGAGGACCTAAGTTCAGTTCCCAGCATCCACATGGCAGCTAACAACCATCCGAAACTTTAGTACCAGGGAATTTGACCCTCTCCTGGCTTCCCTGGGTACCTGGCACACATATTACATACACATGCATGCAGACAAACACCTAAATACATAAAAATAATAATAAATCCCTTTTAAAAACTAACTCCTCAGTATTTCCAAAAATGCTACAGAAGGCACAATATAATGTGAACCCCTTCATACATCTGATAGTACGTTTAGTATTTTCATAAAGGATACACGAAGTAAAAGAGAATAATCACCCTTCAAGTTACCTTCTTTCACATTCTTAGCATTCATATAAACAGACTCTAAAATCCACTGATTCTAAAAAAGAGAAATTACTAATTTTAAAAGAAAACTAACGTGTATACTTGAGACACTGTATAACACATGCTGTCGGTTACAGGGAAACCCCACAGCTATGCTTATAATCAAGAACCCCTAACACCAGAAATCCACAATTAACTGACAGTCTCACGAGGGCACACATGAGGAGAGAACTGACATGGGAGATCTCTCTCCTCCAAAACACAGTCGCTGTGTGGATATGATGGTGAGCCATCAGAAACACAGCATTTACCATGTCTCCATACAAACTTTCTCTAACTTGGGTAACTTTGACACAAAAGGCAGAGCAGAAATAATTGTTGGACCAACTCGGACAAGTAAACTAAGGGAAGATTCTATTAGCACTAGAAGGAAAATCTTCAAAACGGAGAGAGATGCAGTGAGACGAAGCATTCTTAAGTGAAAACTCTGATGTCCCTATAAAACATGTGTGACAAGTATTCATTATCAGTGCAGCATCAAACACACTAAAACTTCCCAAATGTCCCTGGTTGCCACCCTCAGTCACACACCTGGTTACTAGTGGAGGATAAAGGAGTTTTTCAGCTGGGCATGATGGCTCACCCCTGCAATCTCAGCACTCATGTGGCCAATATAGGAGGACTGTCATGAGTTCAAAGCCAGCCCAGGCTACAAAGTGAGGCACTGTCTGGAAAGAGGAGGTGGTTTTTCCCTATTTCGAAACAGAGCTAAAACCTTTGTTCTTACTGAAAGTCTGTCCTCCCACTAAGATCCTTGCTGTGTTGTTTTCAATATTCTAAAAGGACTTGTCTTCCCAGACGTTATACTCTGGGAAGACAGACAAGAAAAAGAAAGCTCAATAAATACTCACCCATTGTGATAAATGCTCCAAAAGAAATCTGCACAGGAATAAACTGAGAGCATGTGGAGCAGGGCTGGAGTCATCTACTTCACACCGTGTACTTGGGAAAGGCTCTGAGGAGGAGGCATGTCTAGGCAGAAACATGAACAAATGAGATGATGCTCACCCTAGCATCACAAATAGCCATACAGAATGATTTAAAACACCATCATTGATATTTTCAGGATTCTGTTACATCCCTAGATAGGCTAGGCTAATGAGTCCACTCCAGGTTTACATTGTAGACTGAAGTGTCCATCAACCTAATCTGGGAATTTGGGAGTTTTCGTTATTTTTGCCATGATAGATACTGAACTGGAGAGCTATGTGCTGGACAGCAGTCTATCACCAAGCTACATCCCTTGTCCCCAGATTCTTATCTCAACACACTGAGAGATAATCCACTTTTAAGCTTATTCAAATTGTTGGCAGAATTCATGCCTCACCGTTGTTAAGACTCACTCCCCATTTCCTTGCTGGCTACAAGGTTTTCTGAGCTTCCAGAAGCTGAGTGCATGCCCTGACTTGTATGTAGTCCCTTTATCATCAGCAAGTGAGGTCAGAAGAGGGCATCAGGTCCCCTGGAACTAGAGTTATAGATGGTTGTGAGCCACGATGTGGGTGCTTGGAATGGAGCCTGGGTCCTTTGCAAGAACAAGTGCCCTTAACCATAAAGTCATCTCTCCTGCACAAGGGAAAGACATTTTGAAGGGGCCATTATTCTGCCTACTACAGAAACAAACAAACAAAAAAATGCTACAAGGGAAAAAAAGCAAATAAAAGACATTTGATGGGGGAAGGCATGGCCTGCACAGGTCAAGGAGCAAAGAAGAAACTCCCCCTAAATGCAGCAGAATAAGGAGGAAAATGGAAACGACACCATATGCTTCATGATGATAAGAATAATTGTCACAGGATATCTGATCGCACTGTGAAGCTCTAACACTGTGTTAACAAAATTAACTTTGAATCAGGAAAAAATTATTATTAAAAGATAATACTGGGGTTGGGGATTTAGCTCAGTGGTAGAGCACTTGCCTAGCAAGCACAAGGCCCTGGTTTCAATCCTCAGCTCAAAAAAAAAAAAAAAAAAAAAAAAAAAAAAAAAAAAAAGATAATACTTTTTCTGTTGCCAAAAAAACATTTTGCCTTAACAAAAATATAACTTGCCAAGAAGGGAATTCCAAAAATAGGGTTGGGGCAAGGTTTTGTTTTTGTCTTTCCAGGAGAATAAAAGCATCCAACGCTGGAATCTAAAGACCATTGGACAAATGAGACATCTGAAGAAAAAGAGCAAATCATCAAGAGAAAATGTCCCAAGAAAAAGAGCAAATTGGCCTAATGGTATAGCATGATTCCAATATGGTAGAATTTCATTAATCCTCCAAAATGCTTGTTTTTGCTGCTCTCTACAAACATAAAAGGCAAATGGCCTTTTTGTGGTCCAAGTCAATTAAAAATCAAAGCTGGGTTTGACGTTGGAGTGTGGCTCTCTCCTTCTCTAAACCCAAGCATGCTTGTTAAAGAAAATCCAAAAATCTCTGTCTCATATCAGAAGAGCTACTTGGCATAGGACAGAAGAAAAGCAAAATTAAGGGACTAGTCTATTGCCACTAATCTCATAATCCTTTGGTTTTATTTTGACTCTTTAAAACTTTTCTTAAGGTATAAATATTATCTCAAAATCTATAAAATTATATATATGCACATAGATATGTATATATGTGTGTGTATGTATGTATGTATGTATGTATATACTTTCTGTTGGGATTATAGTAGTCATACAGAGTACTAACTCATTTTAGAAATAAGCTTCATCTAGCTTCCTGTACGTATTTTTAGGTTTGAGTCTGAAGTAGGTAACTAGGAACTAAGTTTGTGTACTCCAAATGCACTTAATAGATTGTGGTCCTCTAATCTTTTGGGGATCTGCTGTATATGACATTTAAAATGTTTAAGTTTTCTGCAGTGAACCATGACCATTCCTAGCAGTGATCTTTGAGGTCTCCAAGATGATGGAGCCCAGCAATGACGGTTCTACCTGAAATGTGGTAACACCTCTAAGCTGACAAATACCACTCAAAGATCAGCTTTGGACTACAAACTGCTCAGGACAACTTCAAAGTTGTTAACTAAGGTAGTCCAGCCTCATAGACTACTCCAGCCAAGACTTCAGACAAGCCCTGCACTTTCCCATCACACAGAGACTGGACAACAAATGATACCACTAGCTCTCCTAGGATTTGACCATTATCCCAATTTTTTCAGGGTCCCCTAATGATGCTGTCACTCCCAGACAACAGGAACTAATTTTAAGAACACAACACCCACATCCCCAAGAGGTAGGGTGGGTGGTTTTTGTCATTCAGTGGGATATGGATTTTTGTCACTGTTTAGTGGGGTTAGTTGCAAGTTGTTATTGCTCATGGTCAGGGAGGAAATTAAGCAAAGGAGATTAGATTCATGGATCTCCTTCTGAAAAGAAAAAAGGGGAGGATACAGGAATGATAGGATAAAAGGGTAGATTATTGAATCTACTTTTAGACTAAAATGCAACTACTAGTCTCAAATATTTTACATTGGTATGGATTTTTGTATATTGATACAGATCTAAGGTTATTTTTGTTACAACAGACTATAAGGTATTATACCTATGCAATTCATTTAAAACTATAAAGTTCTAGTACCTGAAACTGTTTAGGATAATTAAGATAACAATCAAACTTGAGTAAGGGTTTAGACGTACACAGAAATCTTTATTTAGCTTCATGTGTTTTAGATAAGTGGTCTTCAAACACTTCAGAGATCTACATACAGAATATGGCATTTAAGATGTTTTAATAACTTAAGGTTTTTCATGACAGTGAGACACATCTGCTCCTAGCAACACCAATCTACATCAAAAAAGGATGATGGGCATCAAAGAACCTCCATATGGAGTTTGCTTTGAATGTGGCAAAGCTAGCCATTGGGCAAGAAACTGCCCTTGCCTCCACTGCTGACAGTTACTGTCCAAACTGGACAAGCAGGACACAAAGGAAAATGACTGCCTAATTTCACCAAGACAAGGTAGGCCAATACTTCAAAATGTCTGCTTCACAGAAAGTCTGTGAGATATTCTAAGCCTATAGGCCAAAGATGGATGCCCCAACATTGCAGAGGAACCTTGGGTGACTGTCCAGGCAGCCAGCTGTCTCTGAAGTTTCTGTAGTTTTGGAAGTTGCTTGCTCTGCACTTCTTGTTTACTCAGGTAATATTATATCCTTCTGGGGTCTCTGATGGGGGTTGAAGACTAGATACTTACATCGTTTTCTTTGATACCAAATTCAGAAAAGAAACTTACAAAAGAGATGTAAAGTTTATAAGGTTGAGGGACATAAAAGCTTAAGTTGTTGATCTAAGAAAATATTTTAAGATCTAAAAAGATTATTTTTAGGTTGGGAATACAAGTTATAATAGAAAGTACTTTAGGTATAAAACTTTGGACTCACCAAGATAGGATTGATAATAGAGTACTTTCTCCAAATTTGCCAATTACTAATGGACTGGACATTATGAATGTAATTCTTACCTGATAATTGTTCTCATTGTATATAGTTTTACTGTGCTAGAGTTAAAACCTTTCCTTTTTATTTAGACAATATCTGACAATATTTCTTACTGTATATAGTTTTACTGTGTTAGAGTTAAAAGGGGAAAATGTTGTGGGATATTTGATTGCACAAGTAATGTTACCAGTCATTTTATTTTATTATTACCATTATTGTGTATATATAATGTGTGTATGGGTGAGGCCTGGTGTGCCCCAGTGCGTATGTGGAAGTCAGAGGGCAACCTTTGGGAATCAATTCTGCCCTTCACTGAGGTTCTGGGGATCAACTCAGAGGTCAGTCTTGGGTTGTAAATTCTTCTATAAACTAAGCTAGCTCACTGGCCCAAGAGAAAGTTTTTTCCTATTTAAATTGTACACATTTTTCTAGGCACAGTGGCACATGCCTGGAGTCCCAGCACTTTTTCTAGGCACAGTAGCACATGCCTGGAGTCCAGCACCCTGGCAGATGGAAGATGATCCAGAGTTTGACGCCATTTTTCAGCTTCACAGTAACTTAAGTCACATGAGATCCTACCTCAAAAAAGAAAGAAACAAAACAAAAAGGAGGGAAAGAAAGAAAAATGTGATCTATTTTAAATTTTTGGTTTTTTGCTTCTTTGTTGAGCCATGTAACCAGGCCTGCCTCATGCATGCTATGGAGAAGAGGCTTGCTCTGAACTCCTGGTTTTCCCACCTCCAGCTCTGATGTCTTGAGATCACAGACATATGCCACACACTCAGCTCTAGTCTGGATTTTACAATCAGCCATGGTCACCTTAAAAATAAAATGAAAAGTGGAACCTGGACTAACTTCCAGTTCTCTGTACCTTCCAAAGTACCAAAGTCCAAGACACTCATTTTTCCACATTTGTATGGAAAAAATCTCTTCTAATTGGTATTTCTTATCCCTAAATATTTCAGCTTTTGCAAGCAGAAATTGCAATATTGGTGTTTAGTCACAGTATTTGTCAAATTTGTATTTAGATATCAGAAAACAAAATCTTAAATCTAAAAAAACTCAAAACATGAGGAATAAGTTTTATTATAAAATATTTCTAAAAATTAAAAATTAAGACAACCAAAAAAAAAAAAAAAAGTTTTCTCCAAAAGCTTTCCACACAGCCTCGTAGGGCAGGTTTGTGGTTAAATGTTTATAAGGAGAGTCGCACCTGGGCCGTGGTCTGGTTCTAAATAACCTGCACCTGCAGTGGCTTTTCACAGAACTGCCCTGGCATCTGCAAGTCAGTCGGTTGGCATCACCCTTCACTTACCCTCACCCACAGGTCCTAATCTACAAGTGGCCTACTTCCAAACTTCATTTGAAAAAAATACATTTAGAGCTCATGCCCATTTTTCTGGAGACACAATAATAAAGAGGGTCCCATGAGAACCCTCAAACAACAATACATTTCTTTAGTCATCAACCCCAGCAGTCGGGTCTAGCTGTGCTTTAAGGAAACGAACATATCATCTATTTGGGGAGGAGGCTGCTGCTATAGGCAAATATGGCTCCTTTCCTTTCCTGTAATATACAATTTGCTATTTCTTGTTATAGAGTCCTCTTTTACTGTGTCATTTCCTTACCAGAAATTTAACTGTTTCCCACACAACCCTTCTCAAAACTTCTAAATTATTTTAATTTAATCTGAGTAAGTCACTATTTAATTCAAGCCACCCTTTACTCTTAAATTGTAATACACTCCACTTGTGTCCCTAGATTACCTTTCATATAAATTAGCACACTACTTTACCTTTTAAAGTCATCTTCTTCAAATGTATGTAAGTTCTCTCATATCTAGATGAATGCTTCCTTGAAGCAGAGTGGAGTTCATAAAGAGCAGGATCAAATGGCACGTATTGAAAGAATAGGAAGGCCGGGCGGTGGTGGCGCACGCCTTTAATCCCAGCACTCGGGAGGCAGAGCCAGGCGGATGGATCTCTGTGAGTTCGAGGCCAGCCTGGTCTCCAAAGCGAGTTCCAGGAAAGGCGCAAAGCTACACAGAGAGACCCTGTCTCGAAAAACCAAAAAAAAAAAAAAAAAAAAAAGAATAGGAAGAGAAACCAAACGGGAAGCATAGGGAAGTTAGGAGTATGACTCTGTGAGTTCTACCCCCAACACACACACACACACACACACACACACACACACACACACTCATGCACACAACACACATATACACATGCACACACACATCACACACATGTATACATATTCGCACACATGCACACACACATACACACAAATATATCATACACACATACACACACACACACACACACACACACACACACTCACATACACATACACCACATACATGCACACATATATCACACACACATACACACACAGCAGGACTATTTGAGAAAAGAGACAGACTCG